CAAAACTGAAGCAGGGGGTAATAATAGCAATGCTGGAGATTTAATTTGGCTTTTTTAGAATTGGTAGTAATAACTCACAGTACATCTATCCATGTGCACAGTTCATCTCAATGTATAGTCTATAAAACACAATAGGTAACTAGTTCTTTACCTTGAATTTGTGCATGGCTCCAGTTGTTGGAATTTGGAATTTCTACCTAAAATAATATACATCCCACAAGTCTGAAATAATGTATTTCCTAATATAAATGTTAGGAACCTTAAAATTTTTGTATGTGATTTCATGACAAAACAGAGAGCGCTGTCAATAGAGATAAAAGGAGAAACAAAATTATAGGGGAATGGGCTGCACAGATTAACAGAATCAATCATGTATTTGATATCTCTTGCATGAGCAATGGTCAAGTGTAAAGATGCTTCTAAATGTTTCCACTGAAATGAATGTGGATGTTATTTTAGTCAAAGGAGCTCTTTGTGTATTCATGGCATAGGATACAAATTATGTATAAGAATCATAGAACGAGAGTACAGGCAGTCCCCAAGTTACAAACATATGACTTACATATGATTCACAGTTAAGAATGGAGGGCGAGATAACAGGAAGTAAGAGAAATCTCCCTCTAGGACAGTGTTTCTCAACCTGGGGGTCAGGACCCCTGGAGGGGTCACGAGTGAGTTTCAGAGGGGTCACCAAAGTCCATCAGAAAACACATATTTCTGATGGTCATAGGAACCCTTCTCTTCCTTTTTAGTGCTGGTGAACTATAACTCCCAGAATTKAAAAATAGCCCCCCCCCCAACCTCACCTGTATTCAAGGTAGTGTAGGTAGTGTCCATTGTGGGCTGGGTTCAGAGTGCTCTTTGATTGTAGGTGAACTATAAATCKCAGCGAATACAATTCCCAAATGTCAAGGTCTCTATTCCCCAAACCCCATCAGTGTTCACATTTGGGCATATTGAGTATTCGTGCCAAGTTTGGTCCAGTTCCATCACTGTTTGAGTCCACAGTGTTCTCTGGATGTAGATGAACTACAATTCCAAAACTCAAGGTCAATGCCCACCAAACCCTTCCAGTATTTTTTGTTGGTCGTGAAAGTTCGGTGTGCCAAGATTGGTTTAATTCCATCATTGGTGGAGTTCAGAATGCTCTTTGATTGTAGGTGAATGATAAATCCCAGCAACTACAACTCCCAAATGTCAAGRTCTATTTTGCCCAATCTCCACCAGTYTTCACATTTGGGCATATTGAGGATTCATGCCAAGTTTGGTCCAGATCCATCATTGTTTGAGTTCACAGTGCTCTACCTGGATGTAGATGAACTACAACTCCAAAACTCAAGGTCCATGCCCACCAACCCTTCCAGTATTTTCTCTTTGTCATGGGAGTTCTGAGTGCCAAGTTTGGTACAATTCCATCATTGGTGGAGTTCAGAATGCTTTTTGATTGTAGGTGAACTATAAATCCCAGCAACTACAACTTCCAAATGACAAAATCAATCCCCCTCCCAATCCCACTAGGATTCAAATGTGGGCGTATCGGGTATTTGTGCCAGATTTGGTCCAGTGTATGAAAATACATCCTGCATATCGGATATTTACATTACGATTCATAACAGTAGCGAAACGACAGTTACGAAGTAGCAACAAAAATAACATTATGGTTGGGGGTCACCACAACATGAGGAAGTGTATTGAGGGGTTGCAGTATTAGGAAGGTTGAGAAACACTGCTCTAGGAAAAGAAATTTACTCCTGAAAGAATTATCATTGGAAAAAGATGTCTCAACTGAAGATTTTTCTCAAATCCTTGTTTCCAGAACAAGGCAGATTTTTTTTTCCAAAATGCAATGATCACAGAGACAGAAAGTGAGGTGAAATCTTCTGAACAGGGGGACAAGACAGCAAAACAAACACCACAGGGATGTTAACCCTTCTCTGTGCTATCTAATGGGTGTGTATGTGTGTGTCTGGAGTTACACTGAAAAAATGCACCTGTTCTGACTTACACACAAATTTGACTTAAGAACAAACCTACAGAAACCATCTTGTTCATAACCTGGGGACTGCCAGTATTAGATTCATTACTGCACAGAAAAACTTTCAGATAAAAAGAGAAAGCTCTATAAGAAAAGAATTTATTACCTAGGGCAGGAGAAGCTGGGGTACAAAACATAAACACAAACTATATTAAGTTAGCTAATTGAACAAATGTAGAAGATAGAAATAGCAAAAGCTGAAGGACAGAGTCTATGAAGGAGGTACAGCATGCACTAAATGCAAGTCAGTTTGAAGATTTAAGTGCAAATAGTCACATATGGATTCCCTTTTGAAACAAAACAGAGCTAATTTGTTATTAACTCTCAGTAACAACTCTCCCCCCCCCATCCATTTTATCTTTCTCACACACAGTCAGTATAGATACATACAAATGTACAGAGTCAGACTACAAAAAATACATTTCCTTTTTCATCGTTTGGACATTACTAATTACAATATAATTTCAAGTTTGATTTCAATATTTTTTCATAGTGGCAGCTATAGAACATTTTAAAAAGCAAAATCCTTTCCTGATATTTTAGAGTAGCAGGACAGAAGAGTTTGGCAATTGTTTATCATAATGTAACAATTATGCATGTGCAAATAATTATATACAGGTAAGAAACTGGAAAAAAAATAACAGTCAAATATGTGCTTGCATCATGAAGTAATATATGACAACACTTGATACTGGAATACCAAAAGATAATCCATTCCTTGGGACCCATGGCATTGCACAGGTGCCCCCAAATGCACAAATGTCTTCAGGGAACCAGAGAATATAGATTTCTTTGTCTACGCCAATTCTCCAAGGCACAGCTTTGCAGGCAACTAACTCACAGGCTAAGAATTGAGATAAATCAGACAATATTTGGATTTGGAAGCTTGAACCCTGTTGTTCCATCAGTGTTGTTGTGCCAGTTGTAGAAGCAAATGTAGCAGTGGCACATAAAGAAGGTGTGGATTAAGAACAGGCTGCTTACTTGTAACTGTTTCTTTAAATGACACCTGTGAAATTCGCATATATGGGTATTCTGTGCATATGTAGACAGTTTGGAGTTCTCTAGCTCTAAAATGAAACATTTTGGCAGTAGTCCCACCCACTCTCCTTGACTGGACGGGGCTACCAGGAGAGGCTAGCGCCTCAGTTCCCTTTGTCCGCCACACTAGCACCAGTTTAGGAATCCCTCTTAGTTCTTTTCACTATTGCTGATTCCTTTTCTGACACTTGGACCATTTTTGACTACCCTTTTGCCTGCTATTTGGACTTGTTCACTCCTTCCTCTTACTGAACTGACCTGATTACTCTTCTGTTTGATGTTTTAGACTCTGTTACCCCTCAGCTTACCAGCTTGACTCGGACTGTTTGACTCTTCTTCTGTCTCACCCGTGGTACAGGCCAGTTACTTACCTTGTCAGTTTGCCACCATGTTGTCCACCACTTTCTTTTAAAAAATGTGCATCTTATGGGGGAAAGCTCCTGTATATGGATGGCCATTCAATGTGCTTACTATGTCTTGGGGAATATTAGGTTATTAAGTTCTGCCATGCTTGCTAGGCTTTCAACCCCACCCCACCCCCAAGTTCATCGGAATCAGGAGTCTTGCTTCAAGGTGCTCCTGTACAAGGAAGTGCTTCTGGCTCCGCCCATCTAGCCCAAAAAGCATTCTGTGCTGAAGCTCCCGCTGCTCCTCTGGAGGGAGGCCCTATGCTGACTGGCCTACTACCTCTTGATCTTGGCTTACCATCCATGGTGCCGATCATTCCAGAAGACAGCCCTGTGGTACTTCCCCAAAGCTAAGAAGGCTAAATCCTCCCACCCACCCCTCTCAACGTTGGGGGATGGGGTGGTGTGGACTGGCAAAAGGAGCCTAAATGGGCAAAGTCTGGATCAAGTAGGAAGCCCTTGGATACTCCCTGCCAGGAGATCTAATCCACCCCCCAACAGCCTCACCTGGGCAGCAAGCCTCCATCTTTGGAGAGCACTGTAGCTGCCCTGATGATCTCCTTGGTGCAGTCCTTGGCTTTCCCCTTTGCCGGATGAGGGGCCACATGACACACCTCCTACCCCCACCCAGGAGGGTTGGGTGGGCTTTAGGTGAGACAGCCCGCAACCCTTAGAGCTGCTACCATCATTAGCTGCTCTCAAGATCGTGCTCCCTCCATGTGGAGACTCGAGACCAAGGTCCCACAGCTGGTTCCACTTGCAGAGATATCCCTCCTCCAAACACTGATACTACAGATCCCATTCACTATAATTGAGATCTTGGAGCTCTCACTCCCAAAGTCCATCTCAAGCTTCCTCTTGTTTCCTCTGCAGGAGCCCCGATTGGGTTGGTGTGCTCTCTGTCACAGTGTCTAAAACTGACTAGATCATGCAGAAGATCATGGCCACTGCCTTCACCTCACCATGCGATGAGGTGGTGAATTCCTCCCCAAAAACACTTGATGATGTCAGTACCCATATGTGCGATTTCACAGATACCGCGAAGAAAAAAAGGAAAGATGATTTTCTAAGTCATCTCTCCTACGTGCTTTGATCTGAAGATAGCCCTGGGTGGTCAATCATTTGGAATAAGCAGGCTAGAGCTCACAGTTGCCTCCTCCTCTCTGTGTGAGTGGAGGGGAAAGTTCAACTGCATCATTACACTAGTATATTGTACCCCTTTAATACTGGCAGCATAGCCAGACAAGCAATATCTCATATTCTCAATTTTTCATGATCATGGGACATGAAAATGCATTGGTTATTGCTTGGGATGGCTTGATTGCATTTCCTTGCAGCACATACAGCACAGTGTGCACTTTTCCTGTTGCTCTCCAAAAGCACAGTCAAGACATGATCTAAAGACTGCGTTCAGTTATACTTTTTATATGTAAAATTTACAGTGTAAATAGATGTAACAATTATTGAAACAAATGTAATAGAGAATCATATTAAAGACAATTAAAATTCAGAAATACCTGTTTTGCATTTCTCATAAGTAGTTTTTTTCTGATTATCTGTCAGTAAAACTGGAGGTGGATACCTGGCTTCTGCAAGAGTGCTTTTGTCTGAAGTGGGTGATGATGATGTTGGTGATGGTGATGAAGGTGGCAGTAATGTACTATTCGGGCTGTTAATGTCCCCCTCAGCTACCAGTGTCAAGTCCGCTACGTTCTCATCCTCAACAGTTTCTACACATTCTTTCTGCAGTTCTTTAGACTGCCTTTTCCATATGGGGGCATCCTGTAATGGCAGAACTGGAGACAAAGGCGGACTGAAAGGTGCGCTGAAAGTCTTCTGGCTGAGCGATTTTGCTAGCACAGCTGGCTTCTGTTTACTTTCTGAAAGATTAATTTTTGCGGCTGAGCCTTCGCTACAGTTTTTCATGAAGCCTGTTTTTCCACCAAGCTGTGTGTACCTGTCCCTAACTTCAGGAAGTTCACTTCTTTTGCTGAAGCCTTTAGTTCCTTCAGGTATAAACGAAGAAGGGTCTGCTCCAGAAGAAGGCAAATGAAGAAATTCAGGTAAAACCAGGTCTTCTCTTCTCAACAGCCCCCGCTGGTCATCTGCTCTGTTACTTTGTACTTTGGAGATGAGGTCAAAGAATTCTATTGCAAGAAACCAGAAAAACACAATTTAATCAATATTACAAACTGCTGCCACAAAATTAGTGACACTGCTTTTCCCAGTGCAAACCGACCCTAGCCTCAGCAATTTGCAAAATGGCGATCCCATAACATAAGTCTTAATGTGATAATTTTTAAATATTTGTTTCTGGCTCAAAATGGTTAGTAAAACTTTATAATATGATCACTCATTAAGCGGTTTACAACTTTTTATATAATTGTAACATGTTGCCGTCATGAAATATTTGCTTTGAAATTGGGTCCTCCATTGTACACCTTGTACATTACATAAATGAATGCAAAAAATAAAGAGTCATTCTGATTCTTAAAATTCAAAACATTCAAATAGCCTCTGGATGTTAATTTTTTCCCTTGACACATTTTTATCTTCGGGCTACCTCTTGAATTTTACAAAAGATACTATTGATCCCTGTTTGTAGTTACATAAGACAAGAAAGGGATAACTCTTTCTCAGAGACTACTTAAATAGCCACTTTGATAGCCAGAACATACCCAACGGCCCAGTATAGAAGAAAGTTGCATAAAATTAAGAAAGAGCATAAAGAAAAGAAAAAAGAGTCAAGCAGTAATGCTGGGACTCAAAAACATTCACCATGACAAGAGAATAACTCCAAAGTAGCCCATTTTTGCCCCAGATCTGGATGCAAAGACTTGTGATTGATTGAATGCATGCATTGCATTCAATCATGCATGCTGCTCAGCGTTTTTTTTTTTAAATAATCAAGAGAAAACACTATGCAAGGCTTCTTTAGCCAGGACTTGGACCTTAGTGATGATCTATTCAGTTGTGTATGCCTTTTGACCATAGCCTCAGTTCCTTTGCGTGTATGCTAAGTGTAGGGCATGCTCTACAAGGCTTTGTGTACAAAACACTTAGAGACTGTTCAAGCACACGTGCTTTTCCCCACAACCTTCTTTTCTCTTCCTCTGTCCTCTTAAGGACCTCAGGAAGGAAATGCAGGGTTGAGTGGGAGTAGGATGGGAACTATATGACATAATATGTATGGCAGGAATATGATACAACGTCCATTTTTTATCCAGGACAGACTTTCCTGTCAGGAACATTGAGATGTGTAATTTCCATGTCTGTTTTGTTGTGAATGCCACTGAATCCCCCACACCAGGAATCTCAACTTCAGGCATCTCCTGCATGCTAGGAGTCCTCACATTCATCTCCGACAGAGCTTCCATAGCACTTCAAAAGCATGGAAGTGGGTTCCTGTAAGACAGTGCTTCTCAACCTGTGGGTCCCCAGATGTTTTCGTCTCCAACTCCCAGAAATCCTAACAGTTGGTAAACTGGCTGGGATTTCTGGGTGTTGTAGGCCAAAGCACCTAGGGACCCACAAGTTGAAAACCACTGCTGTAAGGGCACTATAGTGGCATACTTAGTGAGCATTAAGATTATGGCTTGAATCCCACAGCTAGCACTAACTAGAATGAAAGACCCTTCTATCCCAGCTGTCACTGCTCTGGTCTTAGAGGGAGAAATGAAGCAGGAATACCTACTGGACTTATTTCCCTTCTTTATTGCTACTCCCTTTTCCTTCTCTGCTGCATCTTGTAAACCTGAGGGCCAAATTCACAATTTTTAAGCTGCTCCAAGAGTATTTGTGACTGAAGAAATTGGTATAAATGCTCTAAATAACTAAAATAAGTAATAAACTATAGTAAATTCATTGAGTCAACTTTGAAATGATGAATCAGTATATAACTCAACCCCCGTGAATCAATGAGTATGCTCTGGTTAGGGCGAGCAATAGGATTAAGCAATTTGTGAACTGCTTTCTCTTTGGGGTGTTAAAAGGCAACTTTCCAACAAGGATGGTCCCTACTTCCACTGCACGGACAGCAGCAATACAATGAGGCTTCATGCTCAAGTAGGATCCCATTTCTTTGGATAAATCTACACTGAAGAATTAATGTGATTTGACACCTCTTTAACTGCCATGGCTCAATGGTCTTGACCTATAAAGCCCTATACGGTTCTGGCCCAGCTTACTTGTCCGAACGTATCTCCTTCTACGTCCCACCTTGGAGTTAAGATCTTCCCAGGAGGCCCTGCTCTCAATCTCGCCTCTGTCGCAAACGTGCTTGGCAAGGATGAGAGACAGGGCCTTCTCGGCGGTGACTCCCCGCCTGTGGAACTCGCTCCTCAGCGAAATTAGATCAACTGCATCCCTCCTTTCCTTCAGGAAGAAGTTGAAAATATGGACAAGGCATTCGGGTAGCAGGCTAATAATGATGAAAATGCTATGGAGAATGGATTATGGACCAGCCTTGGACTGAGTCATCGGTTGCAGAATTTCGGAATTATATATGGCTAACAGTGAATACTATTTTAAAATGATTTTAATTTAATATTAATCTAATGTTTTTACTTATTATGTAATCGTGTTTTACTATGTTTGTATGTGGGGATATCAAATTGCTGCCGGCCCTGAGCCGCTGAGTCCCCCTCTGAGGGTTGAGAAGGGCAGGTACAAATGCTTGAAATAATAATAATAATAACAACAACAACAACAACAACAACAACAACAACAACAATAATATGGAATCCTGAGATGTGTGATTTGGTGAGGTACCACAATGATTTAGCAGAGATAACTAAAGGCCTTGTAAAACTATAACACTCATGACTCCATAAGCTGGAGCCACAGCAGTTGAAGTGGTACAGGACTGCATTTATTCTACAGTGCAGATGTACCATTAGAAATTAGCAAGAGATCCCCCTGTTCCTCCAGTAACATTGTGAATGTCAAGCAGGGTAATGACAGCCTCCTGTGAACTCACACAGTGAACACACGTTGCTACTGCTGCTGTGATGAATTAGTAATTAAGGTGACAAGGGGCTGACAATAAGTCTTCTAGGGGAATAATCAGCAGATCCAATCAATCGAAAATATGGGAGTAGGGTGTATGAAGAAAGGTGAAAGATACCTTGTGTAGTGTGAATGGCACTTAGGGGATGCTTTGTTGCTTCTGACTGGTTTTGCACTTTGTGAAAAGACACTACTTAGACATTTACAGTAGGAGGCTATCTTCATGGCTGAAATATGGGACATACTGCTGAGATCTGTGCTGTTTCATTGTGACAGAGTAGGAGAATGGCTTAATATCAGTATAAATTAAATGGTGTGGGAGAAGCAAAAATAATCTCTTACTCCTGGATTAGTAAACAGCCAAGCATCTGTTAAATTACGTTTTAATATGAGGTCTTTGAAGGAAGGAAATGAGCTAATGCTTTTCTTTTTTTACTTGTTTGTTTCTATCTAATTCAGGATCTGCATTCGTACTCTCCTGGATTTTTTAAAACTTAATAAGCACATTCCTGAGGAATTCACAATACTTTGCATTTTGCTAAAGTATAACTGTTCCCCCTATTTTCCCTTTAACAAATAAAAAGTCTCTTCTAAAGTTGGTCAATCAATTTTCAATGTAAAGGGAAAAGAAGAGGCAAACAAAATGGCACAATTTCTTAGTGTTGGCTATATAATTTACTATTAAGTTTGATATACTGCTCCTCCCTTCAATGCATTTTTGTAGAAAATATATCAGCCTCATTTTTTGTAACAAAACTGCTTCACAGCTGGCTGTTCCCCAACTCACATTAATAGTTAAATGATTTAAGTCCCCCATTTATGAAAAAATGCTTCATCTTTTAGAGTATAATCTGTGTGACTTTTTGTAAAACAGTGCAATGGCAATTATTGGAATTGTAAACAACCACAACAAGCAAAGTGTTTTTAAGTCTCCAAATTTAACAGATTGGAATATATTTTAAAACGTATATCTTGATTTGTGAAATTCAAATTGTGAATTTATAAACAAATTCAGCATTCTCTTTTAACGTTTCCTCAGTTAGCCACTTGGCCAGGTGTGATTTCAAATGTATTGTGAAGTAAAATAGTTATTTTAACAACATGTTATTTAGCTGAAATAAAAATCTGTAATAGGCATCTCTCGTGTTTTCAGTTTTAGCAATGTCTTCTGATAATCTGCCCATAGTTCTCTTTGCTTCATTTCTTGAACGAAGGCTGATGAAGTCATTTTTATCTCTTATTTTTTTCTCTGGGTTTAGTTTCTGGAAAGTCTTATGGAAAAATACCTGTATCTATTTCAAGTACATTGGCCACCTTCAAAAAAACTATTGGAATGGCACAACTACACTGCTTTTATTTTCTTCCTCCTTTGTTGTGCACTTAGAAAGGGTATTTACTGGCAGCGAGTGCATATATGTTGCTTAAAGCAATATGAAACACTGTTTTGAGAGATTTCTGGATGGCCTGAGCTGGACTCCTTTAGAGGACAGTGTTGCAGAACCCAGCAATTTGTTGAACTAGATGTTGCACATGTGCTGGTTTAGAGCAATATCATGGCAGTCCTGCCACCTCACAGGACATGGAACAACTTCCCTTGAAATTTCAATGCGTTGTGAGTTTAAAATTTGAGTAGTGTTGCCATGGATGCTTTACAGAGAGTGGGTGCTAGTGTTGATATGTTCTTTTAGTTAACACTGCTGTTAACTGTCCTCTGTTTTGCTGCTACAGAGGTTGAGGTTTCCAATTAAGTTACAATGATATTACATTAATTAAATAGCTATGGCATATATAGGATAATAGACTGCCTAATCTTTAGGTCTTCTTTCTATATTACCGCATTGTACATTAAGTATACCTATAACTGCCAGGGTCCATACCCAACAGCCTAAAAGGGATCCACAGAGCCACCTTTTTTCCGGCTCCTCTTTTTTAATCCTCAGGTAACATGCTATCAGGACTTAATCCTTCTCCTGTTTCCCCACCTTCCTGCCCCCACTTCAGAAATCTTAGTAGCAGTGCCTTGCATGGTTCATTTCTATTTTTCAGCTATCCCATTTCCCTGACCTTTTCTAAATTTCAAGAACATTTACAGTAGAGGCTTACATCTCTCCTGTTTTCCTGCTTTTTCCTCCGGTCTCAAGGATCTTATCAGCAGAGATTCACACAGCCCATGCTGAACTGACACTGTCCAGATGTGTACCTAATATCCCATACTATCCCCGCTGTTATTTTTAAACCCCGGGAATCTTACCCAAGTATCTTTCAAAGTCATATTCTACCCTCCCATTAAAAAAAAAAAATCTAAGTTTTAGATTCAGGACTTAGCAAAAATGCCCAAAGAGGTCTGAATAAGGTTTGGGGAGAGTTTAAATTAGTTGTTACATAATAAATCTTTATTGTATTTATTTTCTGCAACAGTGTCTGTTCTCATTTAAGATTTGACAAGGAAGATTGGTCATGTTTTACCATGCTGAACTCACCTGATCAACTCAGCTACCTGGTTATTTTGAGACCCAAATGCCTCATTCAAGGAGGAATATCGAGAGTAAAGGGGCAAGAATAGTGATGAGAGCCCAATGGATAAGGAGTCTATCAGACTTCTCTTTGGAATCTTATGATTTTTGATTTGTAACTCTGTACCTCCTATCTGTTGTAAACAAATCATACTCCATCAACATTTGAAGCATCTACCATGGCTTCCTGATAAAGCCCTTCTTTTGCTTTTAGTGGCACTGCCCATTCCTAGACTGGACAAAAGCTGGCACTGCAATTTGGAAAACAAATAAAACCTCTGACGTTTTAAGTCATCTAACAGAAATATACATGTGCAGACACATCTTTCACTAATACTGTCAGCACTCCACATTTGATGGATTTAGGGGCACAAGACCTCTATGAAAGTGGAAATAAGAGAACACCTCACTAAGAACCTTTAGCTCCTCCAGCATGACTCTATGGTCACCATCTGCCCGAAATTTACCAGATTTCTAGAGAGAACATTTAAATCGAATCCACAATAAATCAAACTTGCTAACACGGAGGGCTGACTGCTTAAGTTAAGTTGTAATTCCAATCACAATTACAAAGGTGTATCTTGCATTATACACAAAAAAGTAAACATTCAGTTGAGGTTGACTGGCTAAAGGATGCACATCCATATGAGCCACACACAGAGATTGCACCTCTGATAATTATTTGTTCCCAAGAAGAAAACAAATAATTTACTCAATTGGAAAAATCAAATTTCAGAATATTTTCCAAAACTAGTTTTTCAAGATATTTTACAAGGGAGAGGAATCACCATTTTCCTGCCTGCAAACATGTATAGGTCGGGGGGGGGGGGGGAATTAGTGTAACTGGGAATCCACACACATCTCTACAAAAACCCCAGCAGGATGCCTATACTGTACAAAGCCAGCCATTGAAACATAGAAAGACAACAATCCTCAGTTGCCTTCTGCTCTTCTTCAGCCACTATGTGATGATCATGTCAAGGATGCAGGAAAACTGTGAGTGTGCGTGGGTGGCAGTGGGAATAATTGTCTAAATCTCTTTGGAAACTCGGGGATGTTAAAAAAAAGGTTTCAGGGTCTGCTTTGTCATTTTGAAAGGTACAGTACGTCCAGTGACCTATGAATAATTAGACTCATGGTTTTTGAGTTAACGTTTTGATTATATTTTTAAACTTATAGATGAGTATGTACAGTAGGTTGTTGCCGTTGTGTGTTTTCAAGTTATTCCTGACTAATGGTGATTTGTTCAGAGATGGTTTGCCATTGCCTTCCTTTGATATTGAAAGCGCGTGATTGTGCCTTGCTTAGTGTCAACCATGAGATTTCCATGCCTCAGTGAGGATTTTAAATCTTGCCTCCCAGAGTTCTAGTTCAATGCTCACAAAATTGGCTCATAGAACTAGATATTCTTCCCAAATGTGTGGTTTCTTTTGAGGCGACATCTCAGGGATAAAAATTACTCTGAAAATAATTTATGGAGCAAGTACGATAGCAACATACTCCTGCAAGCATATGCACAAAACATATTGCCATATCTCATATTGGATGGAAAGGGTTTGCATAATCCAAAGAGTTTTGTTGCCAATGTAGAAAGGAACACAAAACAAAAAAAAGTAATATGGTGTCACCAATAACAGTTTAAATAAGGTAATGCATTCTGGAGAATTGAAAGGTACATGTTTAAACTCTCAAAACATCAAATGATGTGCTTTTTCTCTTTCACTTGCATTCCAAATATGTTCGTCCATAAATTGCAGACAATTTCAAAATGGATTGAAGCTAATAGCAAATAGAATCACAGTACGAGCAGCATTCATTTTTTTTTTCAAAAAAAAGAAGAGAGTTATACATGAACGTTAGGTTCGGTGTAAAATCTAATACTACTGCATAGATTTTTTAAAGAAAGACATACCCTCTGCTTCGTCCAAATTAATTTTCTGACACATTTTTCCCCCAGTCTGTGCAATATTGTCTTCTCTTTTTGCTAGACGGACATCCCTAGAGCTTTTTCCACTTTCTCCTTTTACTTTAATAGAATTAGACTTTCCTAGAGCTCTTCCCTCTCCCTGTATTAGAAGGAAAGGTAAAGGGCCTCTTACTGAATGAAATAAATTATTTATAAATAACATTTGCTTTGCATACTCAACTATGATTAAACTAATGGTTTGAGAAAGTTATATGCAACAACAACAACAACAACAACACAGATGCACATCTACATACCAACATGGACACACAGAACATCTGACAGGTCCAAATTATATACCTCACACAAAATTGAATATGAATTTCTCTCAGCAATATTTCTCATGAAAACTGTAATCTTACACACAGCACTGAGGGGGTGTACTGAGAGCGACACAATGACTTTCCCCTCTAATCATTTTCCAACCATGTGGGCAAAAGGCAGGCAGGTGCTGCATCCCCTGGTGTTGCTCCACTCAGGATTGTGCCCTCTTGTATGTTTTCATGTGGGAAACGTCATGTAACACATACTAATTTATATCTAATCCATATAATGATAATTTTGAGGGTTTGCGTGGTTTCTGGGCTGTATGGCCATGTTCTAGTAGCATTTTATCCTGACATTTCGCTTGTCTCTGTGGCTGGAATCTTCAGAGGTTCTGGCCATGAAAGCCTTCGACAATACAGTGTTAATTTTAATTGTATCTGTTTTGTATTCAATTTTAAATATATTTATTAAGTCGTTGTGAGTCCATGCAGTATGTTATGTAGTATTTTAAGAGTATATCTCGCCAGTAATATATGTGGCATTTTGATTTTTTAATACAGGACTTTAATGCTGTATTTTATATTGTATTTAATAATCTGGTTTTCATGTATTTATTTGTTTGCTTTATTGTGAAAGACCTATAGTCTCAGCATCAAATAAAAAACTGTTAAGCCATTGCTACAATGTCTCTCAATGTTTTCAATTATAACTTTTGTTCTATCCCTTCATGGCTTGTTTATGTATTGCCTTATGGTTTGTTGACTGTAATAAAGGCATACTGTACTGTACTTGGTGTTTTGTCCTCTGAGATAAATATTTAGGGCACAATCATCCAACAAGAAAGATATATAGACATGGATGGAAGGCATCAGGCCAAAGAGCCCACATATGCAAACATTGATATAGGATATTCATGGAGACAAACGAATGCTTTTCAATTTTTCCCACCATAGAAGCCAAGACAATTAAACTGAGACTTTGGCCATATCCCGAGAAGCCATCACTTGCTAGAAAAGACAATAATGCTTGGTAAGTTAGTAGGAAAAGAGGAAAACTGAATTACAGGCGGATAGAGTAAATCAGGGAAGCAATAGATCTGAGCTTGCAAGACCTAAGCAGGGTAGTTAATGATTGGGTGACTTAGAAGTCTCTCATTCAAAGGAATGCCATAAGTAGTTAACAACAAACTGAACTTTTTGGTTAGTTGATTCATTCAGTTTTGGATTTTGGAAAAATGATGGCGTGACAAATGGTTTCAGAAAACTTACTGTGGGTGCTTGATTTCCTGCATTAGAAGTTATAGCTGCACTGTGTTTTAAAGATGTACCCTTTCCTTGGTCTGTAAATGACAGAAATAAATTATATTGATAAGTACAATAATTTCTTTACTATAACCTGTTGTATATGAACAAGAATGAGAAAACTCACATTAGAAGCTTACTCTACTCCAATCTTCCTGTGTTTAGTGGAAAGGCAAAAAGGGTTTGACAACAGACATTCAGATATATGTATGTATTACTATTATTTATGTCCCGCCATTCTCTCTATGGGGACTCAGGTCAGATAGCATCTATCCCCACTTAAAAAGGGTAATACAAAAGTTTGAATAGTAACAGTGTAATAAAAACAGAATTAAAATACAGTAAATACTGTAAAATGGCCTTTAAAACACACATCCAACCCTCAATCCCAGCAACCTCCACATGACAAGGAACACTGCTTCTCTCATTTTTTTCTTAGTGGCTAAAAGTATCTCTGACTCATCTGGATCAAGTTTTAGTTTACCAGTCGAAACTCAGCCCACTGTGGTTTCTAAATACTAGTTCAGTGTTTCACCCTCCTTCTTGGTAAATAATGGGAAAACATACTGCATACTGTTTCTCCTATTGTTGTTTTAGAGATCTTGTAGACACACCTCACAACTGTTTCATTTATCATGGGAGGCATGATGGAATGTAGCCCATGATCTACTGCATGAAGGGGGAACAGTAATAATCAGCACCACCCTTTGGAATTTGCCTTCCAACAGACTGTGAGATTGGAAACAATGAAAACGGTGTCCTCCAGTTTGATTTGGCAAAACACGCTGGATGGATACCATAGTCAACAGCTTCTGAGAGCTCCACTAAAAACAACTGTAAGTTGTCTAGGAGAGTATCTAATGCAGTTCCAACACGTCAGGAATCAGACTGATATGTATCTAGAAAACCCATATGATAACACGTAGTCTGGAATATTAGATTGGCCCCCTCCTTCCTGACTTTCCGAAAAAAAATTAAGATCTGGCTCTTTGAGCAAGCTTTTGAGAATGCAGTGGAACAGATAACATGGAACTATGAATGATGAACATGGAATGACCAGGCGATGTTACTGGATAACGTTTTTAACAAGATGGCACTGATGATTATATGTTTTAACGGTTTTTATTTATGTTTTATATTGTAATGTTTATTGTTTTTTAATGGCACTTTTATTAATGCCTGACATTGAATTGTGCCAATCTGTAACCCACCTTGAGTTGCTATCTGGCTGAGAAAGGCGGGCTATAAATATTGTAAATAAATAAATAAATAAATAAATATGCCTGATTGAAACAATTGAAACAGGTGGGTCTAATGATGGATTTTGACTAGAAGTGATTAAAGTCCAATAAATTCTGTTTACCATTATCAGTGGTGAAGAATGCTGGGAGTTGAGACCATATTTTGCCCACCTCTGATTTAGCCAGCATGTAAAAATAAAGTAAAATGGAAGTTTAAAAACTTACATTCTTATAGAACAAAAAATATAGAAATACAATGAGCCCCCATAATTAAATTAAGTTAAAATATGGAACTTTGTTTTGAACAACCTAATGTCAGATATATCAGTTCCAAGCTGTGTGGCTCTGGAGAAATCTCCTATGAAGGATCACGCAGAGAATCACAAGTGGAGTAGATATCAATGTGTTTATTGTTCAGAATACAAGAGCTTCGACTACTGGCCTCCTATATAGTACTAACTACAATACCATAAATAACTCATTCAGGAATCCTGGCGCCTTTCCCATATCAAAGCCCTCCCATCTCAAAACCAGGTTCTCCCCTCACCTTTGGGCAATTGAGTTTTATGGCTGGTCCATTTGTCCTGCATTTCCTTTTGGCCCAGTGTCCCATGGCCATGTGGTTTGTGCCAGTTGTATGGCATGAGCTAGAGATCATGACACCTGACAAAATATCAAATATGTAACCGTCCAATCATTCTGGCTCAAATAGGGACAATTTTTGATCTAGAATATAACAAATGGATTACAACTGTCTCCAGGTCTATTTTCAACTATAAGATTATCTCTTGGACACATAAACTACCTGAGTTTTCTATTACAGAAAGACCATAAATTCTGAACCCAATCTTAATATTTCAGAAAATGATCACCATTCAGAAAACATCTCAAAGATCAAGTGTTTTACAAAGTACCATTATCAGTGAAAAATGCCATGCATTTGTCTTGATTGAATGCTTGTTATTTCCTTTTGCGACTTTATCTCTAGGACGGGAAGTTACACTTTGTGAATAAAAATTAATAAAATTTGTGTTGTTTACCTTTCCCCTTTTTGGGTAGTCTTTCATCTAGAATAACTCGCTGTCCATCAAGATTGGAGATGGGAACACCAAGGTCTAATGGTTCCTGCTCGCCATTCTGTAATCAAGTTTTGACATACCAGGAAAATATAAACATTTTCAGAACAATGTGATTTATAGACTTACAATAACATTTTTTTTATTTAACAAAGAATTTGTACATCCTTTGAAAATAAGAAGTTGCAAGCCATTGCTACTATGGTTCTACAAGCTCTTATCCAGCAGCTTAATGAACAACTTCATATAATTCTCTGTGGGATAGCAAAGCAGGATCAATTCAGTTTGACCTCTTTAGCTGCCGTATTTCAATGCTATGGAAAACTGGGTTTAAAAATAAAAATAAAAATAAAACACTACAAAGACAATACAACGATCACCACACATATTGTATACTTCTTTCACAGCTAAGCAAAGCTAAAGGTGTTTACTTATTTTAAGGAATTACTTACTAGCCTTGCCACAAGATTATTAAGATTTAAGCCGTATTTTGCAACCACTGGTCGTAGGACTTCTGTTACTGGTTTGGTAGGTTTAGCCTTTAAGCCAACAGATCTATTGATCGGAATGAGATCAAGCCTAAATGATTTCAAAAAAAAGTTTCCTATTAAAAACCATTCAGAACATAAAAGGGAGTCCTATTTAGGAATGTAAGTGAAACAGACAGCAAAGATTTCAGAATGCATTACTTCATTTCTATGCAATTATGCTAAAAAGTGCATAATTTTTACAAATCGTTCAGTCTACAGGTATTAGAAAGCAGAGTATACACAACACACATAAATAACCCCAACCCAATCAATGGCAGCCATGGTTTAGCATGGCTTGTCAGGGGAAAAAACAATATCTGCAGATTTGGATCAGTCAAAATGTCACAAAGAGCAGGTAAGTTTCCAAGTTCTGGGAAACTCAAAAGCCTACATCATTTTTATGACACTTTGTTTCATCTTAGTACATGTATTGGCCAAGTGCAAACAATTATTGTCTGTGAAATAATGACATGGCTGACACTTTAGTACAAAAGCTTCTGTTTCTGAATTACAAGGTAAAGTTGGCTCTCTGGATCCACGTATTGTGCATCTGTGGATGCCATCATCCACAGCTTGAAAATATCCCACCAATCCAAAAAGCAAACTTTGACGCTGTGATTTTATATAAGGGATGTTATTTTATTATGCCATTGTATATAATGGGACATAAGTATGTAGAGATTTTAGTATCCACAGGGGAGGGGATCATGAAACCAAATCCTAGATGATAACAAAGGTCCTTAACACAAGTGCAACTGGACACTTCCTTTACTTTAATAACAGGTACATGTCCTTTTGCTTCCTACAATGAAGTGAAAGAAGGCCTCCTTGAAAAACACTATATGTACATTATTGATTCTGAATTTTCAAGGTATTATTGTCCTATGATGAAGGCCAACTGTTTTATTACACAGAAGGTGGGAAACAATTGAAACGATGCCCTAACAGCTTTAAATACCAAACAATATGGATTTTATCTTACCGAAATAATGTTCTTTTTTCTAAACGAAGAGCTCGAGATTCCAAAATACTGCTGTCTTGATGCAATACAAGAGGCTACAAACATGGAGGAAACAAAATAACATGTTAATCTGAAATGTTATTAAACAAGATCTAATAATATAAATATTGAAGCTTTCAGCAAGTTTGGTGGAAATCAGAGATAAAGAGTTAAAGAAGAAGGAAGAGTGTATGAATATAGAAAACTGAGTAGTGTAATTTTTTGATATTTATTTATTGCTAGTTTACAAAACCCTCACAGGGACTCATGTTTATGAGATGTTTAGCCCTTCTATATTTCTCAGTTGAAGGGTGCACACAACACTCAAACTTAAAGATGAAAAAACAAAGAAAATATACAAGCAGATGCAGAACTTATGTGTTTTCATGGACTAAATGCATGCAATTAATTATTATTTACAAGTAAATGTTATAGGTCTTAGGATAGGGTGAAAAACACACTAGGAATGTGGCAAGATAATATGGTAATTTATAACTCCAATCCATTTGGTATTTTACCAGCTGGGTTGCTGTCACTGGCTAGGAAGGGAAGGCCCACTGAGAAGGTGAAATACCATTTACCAGGAAGAAAATCATGGCAAAGAGGAAATCAACCTATATCCTCCCTTTGGAGCTGATGACAAAGTAACTGCTCCAATGTTTGTACTGTGTTGATTTGGTTGAGAGCTTGCTATGAGGGGCTCTCTAATCTTTTAATATCAAGATTACATATTGTACAATCTCTGTATCCACCGGGAATATGTTCTTGGAAAATCACAGATAATAGTGAACCCTTTTGAACAAAAAACTTCTGGTGGAAACACATCAAAGGGTCCACCTGGAGAACCTAGGAAAGTCCTAGAAAGGCCACCTCTTTATGAACTGCTAGCTCCTCCAGTGTGATTCTTTGGTCAACTTCTGACAGAAGTATATGACAAAACGGCACTAGAGAGAGCTGATTTAATCAAATGCAGGTAAGTGAAATTATGGGCACCAGTCCCAAATACTGGGGGGAAGAGTCATATTGTAATAAGTAATCATAACATGCATACAAGTTTAAGTACCTTATCTCCGCCAACCAAAAATAGGTCAACTGCTGCTATGTTAATGCCTTGTTTCTCACAGAAGCCAGATAACATTTCCTTGATTGACACTCCTGCTTTAACGGTCATCATATAGGATGAGCCATCTGGAAGGTTAACATTGCAGCATTTGGAAGATTTTCCTTTTCCAGTTGCAGATCCAGGTGTCCTGAAAGAGTCAATCTTTCAAGAAACAAAACAGAAGAATATGTTTGATATGGAAATGAACAATGAAAATCAAACACCAAAGCATAGAAAAGGTATTGGCAAATAACACAAGATAACGACATCTATATATTTTGTAAAGGAATACGTGATGTTGAATTGTTCTTAATAAACCTTCTGATAGTGTGTAAGAAAAATTAAAGGCATGCATGTTTACAACTATCTATGATCTTACACTCCATCTTAATGAGTTGGATCATTTCAGCTCTTCTCCTTGCTTTATTGGAAGTAGCGGGAGAGGAATCCTTCTACCCTTCCTGTGCATTCAACTGTATTTAGGATAGTAATGCAGACATCTCCAGCATTTGTGATCTGCATCTACACTTTGGCCATGAGCCCCAGCAAGTGTAAGTGGGCAGACATCTAGGAAGCTCACCATGCTTTTGGTAATTGCTAATATGATACTTCAATCACCCAAAAGATCTGCCATGATAATAAGGAACAAATTTACACATCCAACGATAAAGATTATCCAGTCAGAATCTTTGCTCAATATAGTTTCTACAATGCATAACGCATCTAAAGCATCCCTGAGACAAGAACTTCCAACCTCTACATAATTACTTTTTAAAACTTTCTTAGGTTCCACTGTGGCCATCCGTTTTTTTTCAGCCTTTGCATTCTCCTTAGATACAATCTGGGAAGCAGTCAACAAAACCAATTATTTTGCTCCATTCTCTTTTAATACCTGCTACATATGCTGGTGTGCATGGGATAATCTAAATATGTGGATTGCTTCTCCATGATATCCAGAGAATTTGTATTTTCATGTGTTTCATAACCTTGTAAGTTACTTTCTGAAGGCTACGTCCTGAAATCTAGATGTATTTTAAATGAATTCATTTTTCTCTATACCGCTTTAATAATGATAAACATTTATCATATACTTAAAGCAGCAACTACTTCTACCTATGCAGAAGTGGAAATAATTTGAAATTTTGAAGCTGTACAGAAATATTCCTCTTCCTACTTTTGGGAGATATTCCAATTTTATATATTATTGAACAAAAGTTGAAAAATATAATATTTGCCTCCTACAGATTGAAGGTCACTTTGCTATTTCGAAAAATAACATTGGAAGCATCACTAAGCAAAATCATGGAGATTTCTTTGCGGGGGGGGGGGGGGGTCATACTGTATAATATATTTTTCTTTTAGCTTTTCTTTCAAATGGAGCCACAAGGTCATGTACTGTAATGAACACCTGAAACGCCAGAAGTCACTTTGATTTTGATTAGTAACAAAAAAAACAAAAACAAAACAAAAAAACCAAAAAACCAGACTATTAATATTGCTAAAAGAAACTTAATTAGTTTCCTCCAGTCCTTCATGAACAGCCTAAGCACCACAGAGACATCAGATTCTGTCTGTTCTTTGGAGTTAAGCAAGGACAGCTCTGGTTAGTGCTTAGGTGGAAGACCACCAATGAATACCAGGTGCAGTAGACTAAAATCCAGAGGAAGAAACTGGCAAAACTACCTCTAAGAATTCCTTATTTAAGAAATCACTTCATGGGGTTGTCAAGAGTCCACAGGTGACTTGAAAATACATAACACAAACAGGCAGATTCATAATGTCAAGCAGATAGAAAACATTCTTTTATGTAAAAAACTAGCTATCCCCTGCCACACATTGCTGTGGCCCAGTCTGTGTATATGTGTTTTGTGTGTGTGTATATTTGTGTATACGTGTATATGTGTGTGCGCGCATATATGTGTTTTTTTTTGTTTTTTGGCTTTTTAAGTCCCTTCTGCTGTGTTTTTCAGTGTTTTTATGAATGATGGTCACTCGTTGGCCTGATAGGTGTATTGTGTCCAAATTTGGTGTCAATTCATCCAGTGGTTTTTGAGTTACATTAATCCCCAAATGAACATTACATATTTATTTATATAGAAAGCCAAGCAAAGGGGAAAAAAACAGTAATTGCAATAATCTCATACTGTATAGCCTTACATAAAAGTTTTCCTGTTATCTATTTATTTATTTGCCATATTTATATCCCACTTAACTTCTCAACTTTATTTTTCATCTCTGCCTTGCATTGTTACATATTTTGGTTTTTAGAAATCATTGAGTGCTGAGCTAAATATATCAACACATTGTCTTAAATATAATGTGTATCTCTCTCTCTCTCTATATATATATATCCATAATCTACTTTTTAATCATTTTTGTTCAGAAATTTGAACTTTGGGGGGGGGGGATGGAAAAAACCCAGCTTTCCCCTTGATTTTTGCTGCTGTTTTCTCTCAAGCCTTCATATTTCTACCAAGCAGTATTTTTAAACTCAACTTTTGTATGTTTTGATTTATACGAAGTGAGTGGGATTGATGTTATTCAGGTACATTGCATTTGCCTCTTCACAGCCACATTTTTTCAGTCCAGAGATGCAATCCTTACCATTTCTAGACTTGCAGCTGATGACAAAGAGTCTTGAGATTCATGTCTGTAGGATAATCCATTGGGCTGAGCAGAATCTGTAAGGGAATTGTAACTCATAAAAGCTGCCAATTAATTAAAAACACAAGATAATCTTATTAGAAAATCAAATCAGTATGTACAAGAATGATCAAATATAAAATTAATGAATACCACTCATTCACTCGAATACATGTCTAAGAATAATTTAAATGCAATTATTTTATATTGACAATTGGGGGTGCTATGATTCTCAAAACCATATAGGGCTACGAGCAACATTTTCCAATGCAACTATAACTTTGCAGATTTTCAGATTTCTCCCCCTGCCATGTAATTAACTGGATTTTTAAACTCACCAGTAGGACAACCACCATTCTCCTTTTTTTTCTGTGATCTCCCCAAACTCTTGCTTCTGGACCAGGAAAAGAAGGCTCCTTTTTTCTTTCTCTCCGAGTCTTCCTCTCCAGATTCTTCATTTAAAGATCGGCCAGACTTGGATTTTCCACCCAACTACCATAAAAATATAATTCTTAAAACTTATCTATAAACATCATATTAATTTAATTAGAGCCACCAAACCTTTCTAGAATTGATTTCTAGTTGCCCTATATACAGCTAATTTTCATCCCTACAGGTAATTCATATCATGTATTCTCTATTATTTTATCTTGTAAAGATAATGCTAGCAATAACAAACTGGAGATAAAAGTGTAAATATTACATCAATTAGGACTTAACATCATATGAAAATATATCTTCTAAAAAGAAATAAGAAACAAACTGCTTCTACATATTAAAACCAAGCTTAGCTGCTTCAAATCCCACCCATGGGAGAAAAGCAGGATAAAAATAAATAAACAATAACAACAATAATAATCAGCAAACAAAGCATCATTGAAGTAAAAGCATTTCTAAATAAACACGTGTTTACCCACTGGCATAAAAACAATAAGGCCAGACCAAACTATGCTTCATTAGCCAAGGAATTCCATAACACGAAACCGCTACTAAGAAGGCCATCTTCTGTATATTCCTCTCTAGTTTGTCTCCAATTATTGCAGAGATCAGAGAAAAATTCTTTGCAAAAATGTTAAAAGCTTGGGCAGGCTCACAAGGAATAATATGGTATTTTAAACAACTTGGTTCCAGGGACTATAGTACTTTATAGGTAATATGCAGAACTGGAGCTAGCGAAGGTATTTTAACAAGAGAGTCACACGTTCCCTTATATTAGCTCCAATGAACAACAAAGGTCCCATCTACACTGCTATATAATGCTGTTTGAACTGCATTATATGGTCAGTGTAGGCTCATATAATTAAGATTGAATGGTGTAGGCTCATATAATTAAGTTTGAACAGAGGCATCAGATCTTAACTCGCTTTTGGTATCGCCATCATAATTTCAGGTGTCCAAAGACCTTTGTGGTGGTCTGTTCAGCACAATCCCTCTCTGTCCATTTTTCCAGTCTACAAAGCCAACAAAAGCAGTATCTAATGTTGACATTGAATCATGCCATTATTTGATGTATACCGTTTTGAGTCTCCCCAGAGGTGAGATAAGTGGTATATACCACTAGTTTCAAATTTTGTTGGGCAACTACCCTATTTGTATGGTTTCAGAAAGGGGGCATTGCTTCCCTGGACCTTGGTGCCCCTTCGTTTACACTGTTGCCATAAGAACGCAGTTCCAAACCAGACCAGTGCTGCCCATTCCATTGCCGAAGTCATGGTGAAAGGGAGCGTTTCTGTTTCCCTGTCTCGGTCCATCCCCTGCCATTTTCTGATTCTTCTGTCTCTGCCCGTCATTTGCGAAGATGCCCTTAAGAAGACTACTTAAAATAAGTGTTTGGCCCTTTGGCACTGGTGGGGCAGGAGGGGGAAAGGGAAAGCAGGAAAGAGAGGGAAAAGGTTAAAATAACAAGAAAAGGGGGGAGGGGTAATTAATGGGCTAAATCGTTACAAATATTTATGTCGCAAAAAATGAGGGACTGAATTTTAGAGGGGGACAATTATCAGTGTCCAAAGTTATTATTAATACATCTATTTCTTCATATGAATTACAATTACAAGAATGATGTAACATGCCAAAAATGCCATGTATCCACTATATTAAAGAGAGGAGGAATATGGTCACCAAACGTTAAGGCCAACAGTTATATCTTCTTTGAGTATCATCTCATGGCTTTCCAATCTCCTCCCCAGCTCTTGCCCATTAAAAGGTCATCTTCATCGTTATTATTATCAAATTATTTGTTTTGAATCTTTTATCTAATTTTAGTTATTACACATGTAATCTAATCTGTTAATAGGTTAATATTGCAATAAAGCAAGCATTTAATATGTTTCATGTGTCCCTATTTTAAAAAATTCAAAAATAGTAAGAGAGACAGAAAAAAATCCCATATTAATTATTCAAAGTCTTTTAGATGATAGAGGATGTGGGACAGAAAACGGACAAAATATATACAGATGTAAAAGCAATAATAATTTTCTTAAAATTGCTTTTAGTTATAAAATCCTGTTGTTATAATCTTCTTCTGATTCTTTATAAATTCCATGAAGGGTTTCCATTCTTTCTGAAATTTTTGAGTGTTTGCTTGTTGTAAAGCCAAAGTTAATTTGTCAGTTTTGGCCATCTCAAAAACTTTTGTAATCCAGTCTTCAGGTGCGGCTGTGTTTTGCTGTCTCCATAATTTTGCATTTTTAATTCTTGCTGCTGTTGTCATGTAAAGGAAAATTATTTCCTGTTGTGTTAATATGTGTTTGCCTAATAGTCCCAATAAGAACAATTCTGGTTTCAGTGGGATTTTACTCTTAAAGATAGTTCCATGTCTGTATGTATTTTTATCCAGAATTCATTTGAATTCCATATTCTCATCAATGAGTTCCTTATCTGGTGTTTCAAAAGTTATAATACAATTTTGTTTTCTCATATATCAGATATGTGTGTTCCTGGGGTTATTGGGGGATTCAGAAAATTGCATTGGGTAGACTCCATCAGCTACAGTTTCATATGTAGGGTTATCATAGTTTTTTACAGGACTTAAAAGTCGTCCCCCTAGCTCAATGTGGAGTCAAAAAAAGAAATAAAAAGTTTCTGAACATGTTTACAATCCAAACCACCCTTTTAAACAAGACTTGCAAATGCTCATTTATTTTCAGGAAATGCTTGATTTTTAGAACTAATTTATAGACCAATATGCTTGGTGTCATGCAAAAATGACTTGGAAGAAAAGTGGGTGGAAATAGATTGAGAAGCCCTGGTCTAGATCACCAGGAGGGGAAATTAGGGATGCTGTTCTTCCCCCTTTTTCAATGAGATATTGGGTGAGGTGGAATAGCCCATCTGAATAAAGGTTTGGGGACATTTGGGGTTCAAGCTACTATGAGAAGAGCATTGGTCCCAAAACAGCTGCTCTCAAAAGGCGACTCCCTCCTCTTCCCTCTGACCTTGTCCTCCTTTCTCCTTTGCAGAACATCAGGAAAGTCTGGGAGATGTATTTTCCGTGTTGCCAGAGAAAGAGAGCAAACAAAGTGGCTCCTTTCTCCTCCTGGTCTACTTGTTTTAATTTAACTCACGGGTGTTTTAGAGAGCATCCTTGATCTCCTTCACAAGGTTTGGTTGCTGACATTTTGCCATTTTCTCTTCTTTTCTAGTGACCCAGATGAAACCAAAGAATCCTCCTCCGAGGACAGCTCTCTGGACACTTGGGTAAGGAAGGAAAGGCAGGAGAACTGTACTTCTGTGAAGAGGAGGGGATCAGAATTTGAACAAAGTCTCCTCTCTTTCCTTTACAGTGTTTCTGCATGGTATCAACACTGTGGCTGGGCCCGGATGCAAGGAGTGAGGGCTCCATTCAAGAGGAGTCCTATGAATCCTGGGTAAGGAGCAAAAGGCAGGAGTAAAGCCTTTCTGCCAAGGGGGAAGGGGAGGCCAAGCTTTCAGAGAAAGTCTCCCAATAGTCACTTTGATCTCCTCTTTCTTTCACAGTGCACCGTAACCAAGAGACCAGAAGACAAAAAGAGCACGGGCACACTTTGGAGCCAGCAGTCTCAGAAAGAAGAGTAACTTATCCTTTTCTGGGTGGGGGTTGGGTGTTGGTGTGGAGCTGGAAGAGTCTTTGGGGTTTTATGTTCTTACATAATTTTGTTTTGTTTTTCTTAGCTGATACCATCCAGAAACACTCCAAATGGAATCTCCGCACAAGTGTAAAACCCATTTGTGTAGGCATACAAACAACCACTCGTTCATTTTCATAGTTTCCTCCTTTCTGTTGAAATTGTCCGCATGCTTGCGGATTCCAATCAACTGATTGTCCTCTCCTTGTAAACAAATCCTTGTTTTATATTGTGTGTGATTTCTATAGTTTATTTTTTTAATTAAAAAAAAAAGTAGTATAATGCTCCTGCCTTTTGCTTTCGATCCGTAACCAAGAGTCATGTAAATGTTTATATCTCAAAAGGCTTAACTCAAAGCATGCTGTTTAGAACTTGGAGGAAAAAAAGTTTGTATTACCAAAGTTTGCATTAAGGAAGAAATAGGAAGGAAGGAAGGACTGAAGGAAGGAAAGGAGGAGGAAAGGAAAGAAAGAAGAGATGTTTTGTGTGATTTGTATAATTTATTTATTTTTAAATTAAAAAATTTAAAAGTAGTATAATGCTCCTGCTTTTTTCTTTCACCCCTTACACAAGAGTCAAGAACGTGATCCAAGGAAGAATTCTGAAATTGGCCTGAAGCGCTCAAGAAGAAAAGAAAACAGCAAGTTGACAGCTACTGACATCTGAAGGAAATTAAGCATACATTATCACAAATACATTGTTGGAAAACTCCAGAAAACTATGTAGATAACAATGTATTGTTGAAGGCTTTCATGGCCGGTTGTGTTTCTTCACCAGCTTCCCTATGCAGAAGAGATGCAAAACTTAGAACAGACCACGAGAGTAAAGACAAAGATCCACCCAGAGGAAAAGTGTTCTTACCATACATCAAGAGAACCACTGACCGCATAGGGAAGCTGATGAAGAAACACAACCTACAAACTATCTACAGACCCACTAAGAAAATCCAACAAATGCTGTGTTATTTGAGAACACAGAAATGCTGGACCACTCTAACAACTTCCATGTCAGGCTAAACAGAGAAGCCATTGGAATCCGCAAGCATGTGGACAATTTCAACAGAAAGGAGGAAACCATTAAAATGAACGAGTGGTTGTTTGTATGCCTACACAAATGGGTTTTACACTTGTGCGGAGATTCCATTTGGAGTGTTCAACAGCTAAATAGCTTGGCAGGGACACCCAGTACTCTAATGTACCAACATGAGTTACTGTTCTATTTCCAAGTCTGTAACAGACAGGGACCAGACAGAGGTAAGGTAGGGAGGGTTTGTGAGGGCACAGAAATAGTGCTACTGATGAAGCACTTCATACCTACACTTAGGAATTGGACACTTAGCTAGCCCATAGGCCAGTCTGAATAACCCAAGATGTTGCAAAGACGTTTGCTATCCTTTTTGGTGAGCCCCATAAAAAATAAACATCTACTACTGTAGCAATAGGCAGCTGTATGTTGTATATACAATGCCACTTTATAAGGCACAGAAACATCAAGACAGTGAAAATAATTCTCTAAAATTGTCGATGGATGCAGATGGAATATATGTAAGACAACTACGACAGTACTCTTGATAAGAAAGAGATGTCTGGTTAGATGACCACAGTGTCCTAATGGAACACTAGAAAGAACTCATTTGTACATAAAGGTCACTTGCTCTCCTCAACAGGATGGCAACAGGAAATTTCACTTTCAAGTTGAGTAAACATTTATCAGCAGTGGACAAAGATTCAAACAGTTTATGAATCAAATGTGAGAGGCAACAGTGCCAATTACTACGATGGTGTAGAAGGGATCACTGGAAGACAAAGATGTGCCACACCTTTGAGAAGCTTTTTGATTACAGGATGTGACAAAAAAGTATTTGAGTCAGATGTTTGTTTGAAAGCCACTTTAACAGTCAAATAAACTTTCAAATATTAGTATTAGTCCTTATTGGTTGTACTGATCCATTTAGTTTTAAGACTGCAGCCAGGAAATCAGAAGACATTTACTTCTTGGGAGGAGAACAATGACCAATCTCAATAAACAGTAAAGATTAGAGACATCACACTGGCAACAAAGATCCCCAGAGTTAAAGCAATGGTATTCCCCCCAGTAACCTATGGATGTGAGAGCTGGACCATAAGGAGGGCTGAGCAAAGGAAGATAGATGCTTTTGAACTGTGGTGCTGGAGGAAAATTCTGACAGTGCCTTGGACTGCAAGAAGATCAACCCGTCCATACCTCAGGACTGCTCACCGGAAGAAAGGATATTAGAGGCAAAGATGAAGTACTTTGGCCACATAATGACAGGAAAGCTTGGAGAAGTTCATGATGCTGGGGGAAATGGAAATTAAAAGGAAGAGGGGCCGACTTAGGGCAAGATGGATGGATGGCATTGAAGTGACTGGCTTGACCTTGAAGGAGCTGGAGGAGGCAATCACAGACAGGGAGCTCTGGTGTTGGCTGGTCAATGAGGTCACGAAGAGTTGGAAGCAACTGAATGAATAAACAACAATAACAAGCCCTTTTTGGGGAAGATGTAAAAGAAAATTTATGATAGTGGAGAATCCTGTTAGAGAGTTAGGTTCTGATCTAGATTCCATGAAAAAAACACTTCCACTTATATTTGTAGGAACATTTAGTACAGCTTATTCTAGCAGCAGACAAGCTTAGGAAAAAGTCATGACACAACACTTCAGGCAATGAGAAGAATTATCCTGAGATCTGGGTGGAGTACCTGATCTTGAGACAGACAGTCCTCAGACGAAGAAGCATATGCTGGCCCTTGGAAAGGTCTAGAAAAGAGGCAAAGCATTTTTTTTTGGGCCACGGGGATAGAATAATAGAATCATAAGAGTTGGAAGAGACAACAATGTTTGTCCAGTCCAACTTCTTGCCATGCAGCAACACACAAGCAAACAACAAATGGCCACCCAGCTCCTGCTGAAACATCTCCAGAGAAGGAGATTCTACCACACTCCAAGGCAGCAAATTTCACTGTTGAACAGCTTTCACGATCAGGAAATTGTTCCTAATGTTTCAGTGGAATCTCTTTTCCTCCAGTTTGAATCCATTGCTCTGTGTTCCAGTCTCTGGAGTAGCAGAGAATAATTGCCTTCAATGTGACCTCTTTTAAAACATGGCTATCATGTCCCCTCTCAGCCTTCTTTTCTCAAAGCTAAAAATACCTCATTCCCTAACCTACTACTCATAAGGCTTGGTTTCTTCCAAACCTTTGATAATTTTGGTCGTCTTTCTCTGGACATATTCTAGCTTGTCAATAATGTTTTTGAATTCTGGTGCCCAGAACTGAACATAGTACTCCAGGTGAGGTCTGACAAAAGTAGATTTCCCTTGATGTAGACACTGTATTCCTAATTATGCAGCCTAGAATTGCACTGGTCTTTTTAGCTGTTGCATCAAACTGTTGACCAATGTTCCACTTACGATCAATCAAGACTGTTAGATCCCTTTCACATGTACTAATCGGTGTCACCCATCCTCCAGGTGAGGTCTGACAAAAGTAGATTTCTCTTGATGTAGACACTGTATTCCTAATTATGCAGCCTAGAATTGCATTGGTCTTTTTAGCTGTTGCATCAAACTGTTGACCAACGTTCCACTTACGACCAATCAAGACTGTTAGATCCCTTTCACATGTACTAATAGATGTTCACCCATCCTATGTCTGTGTATTTCATTTTTAGGGCATGACTTGTTTTCAACTTCTTGTGAGTATAGCATTCCTTTCTAAGGGTTTGCAGATTGTGGTCAGGTTAACTGGGTGGTAACTATTCGGGGTTCCATTTTTCTCCTTCTGAAGATGGGGCAATTGCCTTCTTTCAATTTGCTGGAACTTCTCCTGTTCTCCAGGAATTTCCAGTGATAATTGCTATTATTTCTGAAATTATTTCTATCAGTTCTTTTAATACCCTTGGATTTTGCTTACCTAGCCCTGGAAACTTAAATTCATTTAGATATTCCTGTACTACCACTTTACCTATCCGTGCTGCATTTCCTCTGCTGCAGTGGTGTCAAATTTGTGGCCAGATGCTTTGGACTTTGACTCGCAAAATTTCTGACCACTGGACAAACTGGATAAGACTTCTGGGAGTTGGAGTTCCAAACACCTGGAGGGCCAAATGTTTGACACCTCTGCTCTAGTGCATCCTTTGCCTCATTATCCCCAAGTTAAGCACTGAGGCAATAAAGGTGTTGAGCAGTTCTATCTTGCCTCTGTGCACTGTTAGTATTTTTTCGCTATCAGCTGTGTACAGTGGCCCTACCATTTTCTTGTTCTTCCTTTTGATATGGACATAACTAATAAAGCCCTTTTTTGTTTTAAATCTCTTTAGCACACCTGACCTCATTTTGCGATTTAATTTTTCTAACTTTATCCCCACATGTGCTGACTATTTGTTTGAAATCCTCTTTGGCGATTTCTCCTTTTTCCATTTCTTTTACACATCCCTTCTAAATCTAAGCTCAATTGAAAGTTCTTTAGACATGCATTCTGGTTTCTTTTTGCTCTTCAATGATGAACTTTGCTAACCACAGTTAACCAGCTCCAAGAAAGCGGTTTAACCACATAATATGGACATAATGCCTAAATAATAACACACATGAAAATTCTGGCCTTTAAGAGCTGCAATTGTCCAGAAATTTTGCAGTACAAAGATACTGAATATCTCTAATACAGCATGTTAAATGTATCGTCGAAGGCTTTCATGGCTGGAATCACTCAGTTCTTGTGGGTTTTTTCGGGCTATATGGCCATGTTCTAGAGGCATTTCTCCTGACGTTTCGCCTGCATCTATGGCAAGCATCCTCAGAGGTGGGGTCTGCTGGAAACTGGGAAAAAGGGGGTTTATATATCTGTGGAATGACCAGGGTCAGACAAAGGGCTTTTGTAAGTTGGGCTAGGATCCTCTCACCTCTGCAGGAGTCTACTGTATACCATGCAGCTGTGGACAAGTCTACATAGGGACCACCAAATGCAGCGCCCAAACAAGAATCCAGGAACATGAAAGGCACTGCAGACTACTCCAACCAGAGAAATCAGCCATAGCAGAGCACCTGATGAACAAACCTGGACACAGCATTTTATTTGAGAACACAAAAATGCCGGACCACTCTCACAACCACCATGTCAGACTACACAGAGAAGCCATTGAAATCCACAAACATGTGGACAATTTCAACAGAAAGGAAGAAACCATGAAAATGAACAAAATCTGGCTACCAGTATTAAAAAATTCTAAAATTGCAACAGCAAAAACAGCAGAGAGAAAAACAGGCAGGGACATCTAATCACCTTTCAAGAAGAGTTTGCTCCAGGCACAGTCAGCCCATTGTATGCTAATCAAGGTGGTCAGTTGAAAGATTCACACCTAGCCCAACTTACAAAAGCCCTTTGTCTCACCCTGGTCATTCCACAGATATATAAACCCCCTTTTTCCCAGTTTCCTGCAGACCCCACCTCTGAGGATGCTTGCCATAGATGCAGGCGAAACGTCAGGAGAAATGCTTCTAGAAATGGCCATATAGCCCGAAAAAACCCACAAGAACTGACAGCATGTTAAATCAAAAGATTGCCTGTGAATTCATTTTTTTCTTTAAGTGGAAATTATAATTCAACAAAATTGTTGTCAATAGTTATGTTTTCAGGAGGTACATGTTCACATAAGAGGGACTAACCTTTTTTGGTGTTGAAGATGTAGACCACTCAGAACCCAGACTGTGTTTAGAAGTAGGGCTACTGGAAACAAATTGTGGATCAGGTACAGGACGACCTTCAACTTCTGCTAAAATACATTCTTGGTATACTGGAGATTTCAGAAAACGTGTATAGCTGTCGAACTTCATCAAGTTGAAAATCTGAGAATTTGAACACATTAACATTAGATAAGAGTGAAATTTTGTTAGTATGATTTTGCATCTAAGATAATTATTTGACTTAACTTTTAAAAGAACACGGAAATGACATAGATTTTTGTGAAATATCATCAGAAAAAGCAGCCCATGCACAAGAAATAAAACTGTAATATATATATATTTTTAATTTCCTGGAAAGGTTGAATCCAAATAGGACCACAGCATTTCAAATTAAAACCATTTTAATGCAAAATAATCTGCAAATTCTTTATAAGTGCTCAGCATGGTATCACAAAACTATTTCAGTGGGAGACTTAATGCTTATTTAACTTTGGCTGAAACTCACCACTTCAAAAGAATGAATACAAAAAAAGAGAAGAATTATAAATATCTACGTTATCTATTTCACATGGTTTTAATAATATGGCTAAAAAAGCAGAAGTGAGTCCACAGATCTGGTCAGCTCTGTGAGAAGTGAATGTGGTGAGGAAAATCAGGAAATCTTTAGCAGCGAGGGGGCTATGTATAGGCAGATTTGTGACTTGTTTGAGACTTCCTCCCCACAACTTTGTATTACAATTTTCATTTTCTTTGCTTAGGTTGAAGATTTAGCAGATATAGCCTGCTGTTATGTTTGAAGATCCCCTGCTGTTGGCAGAAGTGGACTTGAGCTTTAGCTGCTGGGATATGTGACTCATCCAGCTGTAAAGATCTCAGCTCCACAGTTGGATATTCAATTGCATTTGAATTCAATGTGAAGGCTCTGTTCCTCAGAACAAAGGACGAGGCAACACAAAATTATTGCCATTACGAAGGAAGATAGAAGAACTCAAGGAAGAGGCAGATGTTTTGGAAGACTCTCAAAACCAGAAACTGTCCTGGTCAGCTCTGAGAATAAAAACTAGGGATTGCTGGAAGGACAGTGGTGAAGTTGCAGATTAGCAGCTCCCAGTCTAGTGTCGTTATTGCAAAAGAAGAGCCTTCTCAGAAGACAGAGAAAGCAAAGGTTAGTACATTAGGGTAGCTGATGAAAGGTTAAATACACCCCTCCCCTTTTTTTAGAAGGCTGTCAACAGTGCACAGGGGCCCGCATGTCTGTACAATTAACAGAGAAATGGGCTCGACACTGGTAACATCTGAGAACATAGGATAAAAGGCTCTCAAAGCTTTAGTTTTGTCGAGGAAGACGATGTCGTTGGTTTGTGGTGTGAACCTGGACTTTGATGTTCTTTAGATTATTAGCTTTGTTACTTCTAGACTGTACACTTTATTGTTGTATTTTGGTTTCTGATTTGTACTTCTGACTCTGCTATTTTTAGACTGCAGGCTTTATTGACCTGCACTGGAATTCTGGTTTGTGTTTGCTTCCGAATGAACTCTGAAAGTTTTTTGATGTGACCATGGCAATTTGGACTGAGAACTTAGGCTTTATCTTGCTCTCAACAGCTTGTGTGTGTATGCCTCCTAAAATTACTAACTTTTTAAAGTTTAGAACTGATTACTGGATAAGACTCATAAGCATAGCTCTGGGAAAATGTACTTTGGACATAGCTGCCAAAGGCCATTCTCCATGAACCTCTTCCCTCAGAATATTGCCATAATAATAATAATAATAATAATAATAATAATAATAATAATAATAAAGAAAAAAATTTGGATCATTGATGTCACCATACCAGGTGATAGTTGCATTGAGGAAAAACAACAGGAAAACCCCAGCCATTATCAGGACCTCAAAATCGAATTGCAAAGGCTCTGGCATAAACCAGTACACGTGGTCCCAGAAAAATATTTTTTTATTTACTCTGGCATTTTTTACAAATTTAAACATTTTAGCAAGATAATTTTAGTCTGCTTTCAATGTTAATCTTCTGACCTCTTTTGTATTTATTTTATGCAATACATAACCCTGAAGTACGGTATAATCAAAAGTATTACAAATACAGTTCTGGAACGACTGCTGGAAGCAGAGGGTGAAGGGCAGAGAGGACCAAAGTACTTCGTGCATTGGCAAGTGGAAGAGCCAATGCAATGGAAGGGATGCTAATTCAGTAAAATAAAATGTACATACCCAGAGTTATGGTCAGCACCTCATCTCCACTGTTAAAGTTTATGAATAAGTTGACAAAAAGCCAAAGGTGGTCCCCATAAATGCTTTGAAAATCACCTCGCATTCACACTTACTACGTATTTACATTCAAAAAATTACCTGAAGCTGTTGATCTTTAAACATATCCGGGTGTGGTGCATTGAGAACATCATCTGCCAGCTGTGCCTGACTATCAATATTAACGGGGGTTGTTGCTTTGCTACACAAAAACTTATTAAAAATCTCCCGAGCTCTGAAAGAAAGCTGCAAAACACATTTTATTATTCACAGTGTAAACAAGACAAAATGTTAAGTTATTGAAGTGGCAAGGTCAAATCAGATGTACTTTACGTATGTAAATTTCGTATTTTAATATAAGCAGGAAAGCGTCAGGATCACAGTGCAAAAATTGTGGAATGGGGGTAACTTTGCATGGGTATAGTAAAACTACCTCTGGCATTTATAATTACCTTTAGAACAAAGTCAATGAGGACGTTTTCTGGAGTAAAGCAATGGTTGGGATAGGAGACTTTTCACTATTGCTACAGCTGCAGTGGTAAAGAATTTTGGATGGAGGAAAGAAACCTAGATACTAAATGCCATGATGGCCTCCTCCCATTGGCAGGTAACCCATTTTTATTCTAACATGCTTTTATGCAAAATGTTTTTAAAGATTGGGTTAGGGGATGCTGTATTGTTTTAAAATGTAATTCTAATTTAAAATTCACTTTCTGTATGATTTAAACTACATTGCTCTTTTAAACTATGTGTTACCTTGAACCCCAATTTCTGAGAGGAAGGAATGATGAAAGTGATGATGACTAAAAGGCACAAGCTCTACCAGTTAATCTTATCAGGACCTGGTAACAACCTAACAATAAGCAGGTACGGATATCCAATGGCCATTAAAGAAGTCTTGCATGTTATAAGGTTATGAAAGTCTTGTGTCATGCCAAAGTTCTGTCTCCATGTCAGGCAATGAAATGCACTGGTAGAAATGGGCACTGGTACTCTATATTTACTACTATAACCTTTAAATGTATCACTCAAGCCGTTTACAAGACAGCATTCTATATATTTTAAAAACCAGATTAAACATCTACTACAACATTCTCATCTAAAATCAGCAAAATAGAATATCAGTCTCCTGGTTGGGTTGTTGTAGGTTTTTTCGGGCTGTATGGCCATGGTCTAGAGGCATTCTCTCCTGACGTTTCCCCTGCATCTATGGCAAGCATCCTCAGAGGTAGTGAGGTCTGTTGGAACTAGGAAAAAGGGTTTATATATCTGTGGAATGACCAGGGTGGGACAAAGGACTCTTGTCTCTGGAGCTAGGTGTGAATGTTTCAACTGACCACCTTGATTAGCATACAATGGGCTGACTGTGCTTGGAGCAAACTTTTGTTGAGAGGTAATTAGATGTCCCTGCCTGCTTCCTCTCTGTTGTTGTGCTGTTGCAATTTTTATGGCAAGAACAATTGGGCTCTCCATCTCTTCTGCTATAAAAGCAGTGGTAGTTAAATGTCAACTTTTCACTTTGTAAATATATCTTTTTTCTTTCTTTCTTTCTTTCTTTCTTTCTTTCTTTCTTTCTTTCTTTTTTTTCTTCCTCTTTCCCTCCCCCTCCCCATCGGATAGGTACCTGCCTTCCCTACCCTTCTTACCTTCACTGCCCTTATTCTTTTTTAAAATTATAATAGATATGTCAATGATCAACACCTGTTTGATGTATCACAACTACAAAACTCCAATAAAAATTATTTAAAAAAAAGTAAATATATCTGTGATTTGCTAAAAGAAACAAGCATGGTGGACAGCAAAGAGTATTTTTAGAACATACAAATCTCACTTAAAGAGAGCAGAAAATCATAGACTGATTTCTCATACACTTGCCATTCTGCCTGTCATTCTGTGCACTTCAGGTCAAGCAAAGTAACCCTAAACTGGGAAGAATAAGATTTAACACAATCTAAGAACAATACTGAAAAATTATCCCCGCAAAAACAAGAACCTACCTATGTATTTTAAAACATAAATATGTGCATATACAGCACTCATAACATACCAGCACACAGTCTTACCTCTTTTTTGTCATGGGCAGATATGTGGTGAAAATATTCACAAGCTTGCCAAAATAAAATATTTTCTTCACTAAACTCCTTTCGTAGAAACTCCTAGGTGGAAAAAAAGTTATATTAAAAGACATTAGTATTCGTTGAAAGATAGGCAAATAATAATTGCAGCTCTGCATTACTCAGCCAATCCCTAGTTTTAAGAGATTATTTTCTAGAGAAGGGCGATATCAGAAGAATGTAATTTCCAAATATGGTTCAAATATTGAAAAACAATATTCAGAACAAATTCCAGGACTCTTAGTTGTCCTGATCTTGATCTCTAGAAAAAAATGAGCACAAACATTTGCTAGAATTCTAGAATCAAAGTTGGAAGAAACCACAAGGGCCATACAGTCCAACGCTCTCAACAGATGTCCATTCAGTCTCTGTTTAAAAACCTCCAAAGAAGGAGAATCCATAAAACTTCGACTCAGCAGCATATTCCACTGTCAAACAGTTCTTACCATCAGGAAGTTTCCCATAATGTTTGGGTGGAATCTCTTACATGTCTACAAGATATGCCTTACACATTGTTCTTCTTTCAGATTTTGAGCAGATACATACTGTAACCTGTGTCCTACTCATTGGATGGACATATATCAACACTGTGACTCATTCGTTGAAATTATTATTCTTTTTGGAGTCTCTTGATTTTAATGGAGGAGATTTTGAAATGAGTTTAATTCTCTCATTGAAATAATGAGACCTTCCTGGTAAATTTTAGCTGGATGCTGTTAAAACCTTTTTTGCATTACTTACAGAGAAATATCGAACCCCAATCGGATCCTGAAGAAGTCGTTCAAACGAAACAGCCCAGCTTGCAACTCTTCTTTCACGATGCCGGCGGCAGCTCTGAACACTCGGGAGGCTGGCATTGCTGCTGAGGCTATTATCACTAACACAGTCCTTCAAATCTGTGGTATTTAGCTCTGTTGAAGAAAGGAAGAACAAATTAATCCACTAACAGAATGGCAAACTTTTCTGGAAATATATATTTACAAAGACAGAATCAAAGAAATACACAAAGATTAGAAAAATGAGTTCCTTTTAAACTGTCTATGACTGTAATGTAAATTTCAGTACGCAATAAATTTGCCCTTTTATTTAATGTATTGTAAGCATGTTTTATATGTCCTTTACAAATAGCTTCTATTTGTCAGCTTCAGTCACATATAAATATATCAATATCCATTAATGAAGCTATGGAACGTCAGGGTGTTTCCAAAGTTGGTCACATACAACTAAATGAATATTCACTGGTTCATACTCAATGGTTTTTGAATAGTAACACACATTGCAATATTAAATTAAAAATATTAAGAGTTCTAATATTTTTGAAATTTTATGTGCTCTGTCCTACAATGATTCTGAATAGATTAACATTTCCACCAGGTACAAAACAAATTGCTCTTTCTCCATATTTTATCATCTAAAATACAACTGGAATAGCACTTTCAAAAACCAATAGAAGTAATGAAAATAATTTAATAGATGTACATAGTACAGTTTAAAACAATTTTGTTCAGATATTACACCACATATTTATGCCTTTTCTGATAATAGTTACATAGAATATTTTGGAAGAGCGACAAGAGTAAGTAAACTCATGTAGGTATCTTGGCTTCTCTGTGGATAAACAGTTTTTTCAGATCTGGGATTGTACTTTGCCAACTTCACAACAAATTACCCTAGAGATGTATTTGATGACTTTTTGAATTACAAGATAAGTCTGCTCAAATGACATCTTCCCTGTCATACAAGGAAAAAAGGGGAAATGCCAAATTAATTCCTCTCTTCTCCAAACTGGCCTACAAACAGACCCTCTTATAATTGTCTCAGTGGCGGTAATGAACCGGAGTCTCAAGCCTGTTTGTTAACTTATAGAGAACATGGTAACCATTCCGGTGAAATTCTGATGCAACTGAAGCTATCATTGCATGCGATGAGTTATTGCTTCTGTGGGTCCCCACCTCAAGTGGGGTCCCCTTAGCTCCATGCTGGGTTATCAAAAGAATTTCTGAACTTCATTTAGTGTCTATTTTAGAAATTTATACCACTTTATTAGCTGAGATTACAGTGGACTCTGCAGAAAATACTTCAATTGTATTTCATGAAAAGGAAAACCAGCCTCTTTAGCAAGTCTTGCAAATGCTGATTTGATATAAGGAAATGTTTGATTTTTATACATATTTTATATAAATATATAAACTTGGTAACATAAAAAATTCTCAGGCCAAAAGAGGCCCCTGAGTGGAAAGGTTTAAGAAACCTTGTTATAAGTAACCAACTCACATTGAATACCATATAGATTGCATGGCAGAATAACAATGTTAAAGATTATCAAGTCCAGGGCTTCTTAATTTCCCCCCGCTTGTGGCTCCTTTCCATCCAAGGAACTTTTACATGACCTCAGGTATGTGTTTATAAATAAAAATGTAAGGTTCGTTTGTGGGATTAACAGAACTCAAAAACAACTGGACGAATTGACACCACATTTGGACACCAGACACCTAACAACCCAATGTATGTCCTTCACTCAAAAAATTGATTTTGTCATTTGGGAGTTGTAGTTGCTGGGATTTATAGTTCACCTACAACCAAAGAGCATTCTGAACCCCACCAATGATGGAATTGAACCAAACTTGGCACACAGTTCTCCCATGACCAACAGAAAATACTGGAAGGGTTTGGTGGGCATTGGCCTTGAGTTTGGGAGTTGTAGTTCACCTACATCCAGAGAGCACTGTGGACTCAAACAATGATAGATAATGGACCAAACATGGCACTAATACTCAATATGTCCAAATATGAACACTGGTGTAGTTTGGGGGAAAATAGACCTTGACATTTGGGAGTTGTACTTACTGGGATTTATGGTTCACCTACAAGCAAAGAGCATTCTGAACCCCACCAACGATGGAATTGAACGAAACTTGGCACACAGTTCTCCCATGACCAACAGAAAATACTGGAAGGGTTTGGTGGGCAGTGTCCTTTGGTTTTGGAGTTGTAGTTCACCTACATCCAGAGAGCACTGTGGACTCAAACAATGATGGATCTGGACCAAACTCTACACGAATACTCAATATGCCCAAATGTGAACACTGGTGGAGTTTGGGGAAAATAGAATCTTGACATTTGGGAGTTGTAGTTGCTGGGATTTGTAGTTCACCTATAATCACAGAGCATTCTGAACCCCACCACAATAGAATTGGGCCAAACCTCCCACACAGAACCCCCATGACCATCAGAATGGGCCATAGCAATGTGTGGCAGGGGACGGCTAGTAGGTATATAAAATAGCTTTAAAAACCAAACATCAATGGTAATAAATCAGCATTTGCAAGGCTTGCTAAACAGGCTGATATTCCTTTTTGTGGAGTACAGTTAAAGTATTTTCTGCAGAGTTCACCATTTACTGTTACCAATTTTTGACCCTCTTTGGGTTCGGGACACAGTTTAAGAAGCCCAATTTAATCCAGCCCACTATCACAGATAAAGCATATAAAACAATTTTCCCTTTTCGCTAATTTAGCGATACTAAAGTCACTCCACTGGTTGCTAATTAGTTTTTAAGTAAAGTACAAAGTCTTGGTTTTGACCTTTAAAGCCCTACATGGTTTGGGTCAAGTTTACCTACAGGATCAACTTCTCCTACACAATACGCCTCTTAGGACACTTAGGTCCTTTGGGGGATACTTCCTCCAACCAGCCAGAACCCGAATGGAGACTGTTGCCCAGAGGACCTTTTCATCAGCCACCCCATGACTGTAGAACAACTAGCCAGAAGAACTCTGACAGCTAAATCAGTTGTCAGAATTTAAAACAGAACTTAAGACCTATCTCTTCCGGCAGGCCTACCCAGTCAATTTTAACTTTTATCAGCAAATTTTAAGCTGCATTTTACCTGTGTATATTTGTTATATGTATTTTAATAGTACTTTTTTCTACCTTGCTATTTTAACTATGCTGCATTCCATCTCGAGCCACAAAGAGAGGTGAGTAATAAATAAATATTAAGTGAGAGTGTGGACAAAACCAAGGAAATGTCATGCTATTGCAATAAAACAATTTGCATAAAGGTAGTACAGCTATTATGCAGTGTTGTACAGAAAATGTTGAGGTGAGTTGTTTAAGAGGAGTTTTCTCTCTACAAATGCTCAAAGGTAATTTTAGAGGCCTTCCACACAGTCATATAACCCTGAATATCAAGGCAGAAAATCTCACAACATCTGCTTTGAACTGGGTTACCTGAGGCCACACTGCCATATAATCCAGTTCAAAGCAAATAATGTGGGATTTTAGAAGGGGCCTGTGCTTACATGTTACAGAGCTAGTCCTGATATAAAAATGTTTGCCAGATTATTTAAATAAAAATAGGAGATGGAGAAGACACAGTAACTCTTAAAAGTCACAGATATACTTATTGGTTGACTTTATTAAAATATCTATCACAGAAATATTTCTATGTATGATACTTCTATCTTGTTGGCAGATCTTCTTTATACAAAGAATAAAAAACAGCTTACCAGAGTTTGCCTCTACTACCTACCCACCTACATACACACGCACACACATAGACATGCAGCCAGTATGCTGTGACATCTGATTCTAATGGTCAGATGATCAGAGGAATGAAAGTTGTGTGCATGTCTTTCAAAACATCACCTTGTATCTAGAGCTCCATTCTCCCTGCTAGGAAGGTGGGTAATGTACAAGGGAAAGGGTTGAGTGGCGTAGGGATTGGGAAAAGTATCCAATGTTAAGTTCTAATGTTTTATTTCATTACTTTTGGTCATACCAGTACTTGAGCACTCATGGAGGAGGGAGAAAAGAAGACTGTAATGACCTTTTAGTGGGTTAAGCAACTGGAGCACAAATGAATCGCGATGACTTTAAATGCAAGTCTACTAACTTGCTAAACAGGTAGCATAGATTTTATTTGTATTTCCATTTTAGAGAAACTAGGAGCTTTTTACACATTGTAACCATTATTCTAATTCCTAGAAAACAAATACTCTCCATCATGTAATAGTGGAACAATATCTTTATATACTCCTATTCTATAGAAATGTCAAAACATCTCAGGATAGATTTCTCCTATTGTTACCTGATACAAATGAAAACAAAGTAAGGAATTTGAATTAGTATAGAAAAGCAGATCTGGTTTTTTTTTTGTTCCTATTTACATTTTAGGCTTGCATAAACTATACAAAGCAGAGCTCTTTGAATAAAAAGAATGAAGTGTTCTCGACTAAATGCCTGGTTTTTTTAGACTTCCAAAGTAAAGGATGATACTGAAACTATTTAAGAAATGCATAGATAAAACTGTACTATCAACATAAAATTTCATACAATTTGTTTTATATAATGACACATCAGTACAGTGCTATTGAACATGCCTATATTTCTAAAAAAAAAAATCATCAACATCACAGAAAATATTACCTGGGTAGAGCTGATATGAGCCACTGTGGTGCCACTTAACCAAATACTTCAAACCATTCACTGAAGGCCATTTTTCTGTTTCCATAGTTAATGCAGGATCATTCTCCTAGAGTATGCTTGGTAGATATTCTCTGAACAGCGTGATATGTTGTTCAAGTGTAACCCCTCCAATTATATTACGGCAATTTCTTTAAATGTCTCTTCAACAAATTATTTATTTTTGGGTTCAATGCTTATTTCTCCTTATAGCAAGAAAAGAAACCCTCAACATACTTAACACAAAGCATTATAAAATGCGACATAAATAATTTAAAGAAAGGACCTCTAACTGCTGTTGCTGAAAGAACATGAATTATTCACACTGCACAGGAATGCAAGTACAGCTGCTATTTTCAGGCAGCAAAGAAAGGAAACACAACTTGAAGATTAATGCTGCTCAAAATACTTTTCCTGTTAATCAACATAAAGAATCAACCATGGGTTTGCTGCCCTGGGGTTTCTTCTACTTGAATTCAAGCACACGAGGACAGTGTTCTCAATATTACAGAAAACGAAGAAGCTGGTCTAGTTCTTTTAGCTGAGAGCATTTTGGGTTAGGAGTCTGGTTACAGAGCTCTAGGGAATGTCTGTGCACAAAAGTGATATATTTTGATACAAGGGTTCCTCTTTCATATATGGAAAACACCTTTTGGGTTTTCTAAATCCTTAAAATGGTTTTGTTGCTGAGGCGCTCTTAATTTTGAAACTGAGTTGCTGGTGTGGCATTTATAACAAACTAGCCGTCCCCTGCCAGGCATTGCTGTGGCCCAGCCTGTGTATACATGTTTTGTGTGTGTGTGTATGTGTGCGTTTATAATTGAGAATAAGAATATGTGTATATATGTGTGTTTGCATATCTATCTATCTGTCTGTCTCTCTGTGTGTGGTTTTGTGCAAACGTTGTAATGTGGGTATTTTGGCTTTTAAGTTTCTTCTGCTATGTTTTTCAGTATTTTTATGAGTGATGGTCACTCACTGGCCTGATAGGTGCATTGTGTCCAAATCTGGTATCAATTCGTCCAGTGGTTTTTGAGTTATGTTAATCCCACAAACGAACATTACATTTTTATTTATATAGCCTAGCCGTCCCCTGCCACGCGTTGCTGTGGCTCACATGGGGGTTCTGTGTGGGAGGTTTGGCCCAATTATATCATTGGCGGGGTTCAGAATGCTCTTTGATTGTAGGTGAACTATAAATCCCAGTAAGTACAACTCCCAAATGACAAAATCATTTTTTTTGAGTGAAGGACATACATTGAGTTGTTAGGTGTCTTATGTACAAATTTGGTGTCAATTCGTCCAGTGGTTTTTGAGTTCTGTTAATCCCACAAATGAACATTACATTTTTATTTATATAGATTTACATTTGCACCCATCAACTATTAAATGTTAAATGTCTGAACGCAAGGCTTTTGAGAGATCAATCAGAATCAAAAGACAAAAGAATGACTTTGTCCATGGTCTTTTTATTATGTTAAATCCAATAAAGAGAATAGATGTTCCCGTCCCATGCACTTATGGACTAAAATAAAAAGGCAAGCAATTAAATGGAGCAGACTGAATAAGTGGAGGCTGGATCTACACTGCCATATAGTACAGTTTCAGAATGCAGATTAACTGCATTGAATTGGATTATATAGAAGTGTCGAGTCATATAATCCAGTTTAACGCTGCATTGAGTCTTCTTTGTGGAGAGAAAAAGCAGGGTATAAATAAACACAATATAAATAAACATAATAATTTAATTTGCATTCTAAATCTGCATAATATGGCACTGTATATCCAGCCATAGATGCATGGTCAGCGATTGGGAGAGTAGTCATCTCCTATAATCACTACAATTAACGTTATGGTCAATGATTAATATTCAAAGGGGAAAAATCTATAAAACCAATTTTACAAGTATATAGTATTTTTTGTTTATTCATGTATATGTATAGTATAAAATCTACAATCAGATAACATGCTATAACAATATTATTTAAAAAGTGATAGGAAATAATGAACAATTTACCAACAAAAGCAAATAATCAAAAATATGGAAATCTAAAATTAATTCCCAGTAGATTTACACTCAGAATCTGTCAGGAATACCCTGAGATGACTCACTCGGTACTAAATATCTCTTGCTATCAATTGTTTTATTCTGTAAAGACTAACATTTCATTTTAAATCTCATATAGGCTACTGAGGAAGATACCACATTTGAAAAGCTTTATACTTTTACAAAGACTTGAGTTATTTATAGTGTTGAATATATAGATTTGCTATAGTTAGCATGGTACAGTGGCCTGAGCATTAGACCCACGGGAAAGGCATACACTCTCAGCCTCAGAAGGAAGGCAGTAAGAAACCTCTTTTGCACAAACTGTGTCAAGAAAAATCTATGATTGAATTGTCTTAAGTTAGAGCTGATTTGATGGAAATAACAATATGAACTGGGAATTGAACTGCTAGCTTTACCATCTAGTGCCACAGCAATTAGTTAAGAAACAGTAGAATCTTTAACTTACCTCCATCAGACACAGCAGCAGACTGTAAAAAAGGAAGAAATAATAATAATAATCAGACACAAGAACACACTGAAATATTATAAAATGATCTTGTCTGAAAAGAAAGGAGGACTTTAAACTAGTAACATTGCTTATACTTATATATTTTATTGATAGGATCTACATTTATAAAATCTTAAACGCTTCAGAAATGTTCAAAAAACAGATTTCAGAAAGACTGTCAGTGTATAAAATGCCAACACATTTCTTTCTCATTCTTGGATAGACTGTATGAAAAGTGCACTACAAATAACAAAATGGAAAGCAAGAATTTTTTTCTTCATTTATACCTTGTGTATACCCAGATTAAAACATATAAAGTGCATGATTCCAAGATAAGTGGATTGCAATTCTAAACACCATCACTGAAATAGCGTGCGTACAAGTTTCGGCTTTCCAAAAGGGATACAATTCCAAAAACACTTTTCTGTTCCAAATTTTGCATTTACTTTTCAGCATTATCAGCACCAGGAGCCTAATCTAAACAATCTCCAAGTTCCTCAAAGAATCAAAATGAAAGTCTTATGTACTCTATCTATTTATTATAGCTTCTCAAAGGGGGATGTTTTTAGGGAACATATAAATTTTCTGTTGAAACAACTTCAGTAGCAACCAGTTTAGTTCTGGGTATAATTAAAAGTGCTGGTTATGATGCATAAAGTCCTAGATGGCTTAAGTTAATTAATTAATTTTTAATTTTAATTTTTTGACTTGTATACCGCCACTCCCAATTTGGCTCGGAGCGGTTTACAGTAGCAGATTAAAACAATACAACCAACTTTAAAATACAATAAAAATGTGAAACAGACATAGTCCTGAGTTATTCACCCATTGAAAGCTTGTCGGAAAAGAAAGGTTTTACAGCAGGCTTTCCGAAAAGCAAGTAGCTCTCGGATGGTTCGGGTTTCAACTGGCAAGGCATTCCATAAATAAGGGGCCACAATCGAGAAGGCTCTCTGCCTAGTAGAGGATAGATGATAAGTCCGGATGTTGGGGACTTCAAGCAAATTTTGGTCCTCGGACCGAAGTAATCTCTGGGGTTGGTAGGCGGATAAGCGGGCCCTCAGGTATGCCGGCCCCAGACCATATAAGGCCTTAAAGGTTAGTACCAGCACCTTGAAAGTAATCCGGTACTCAATCGGAAGCCAGTGCAGCTGTTGTAGAATTGGGGTGATACGACACCTCGCCGGCACCCCGGCGAGAAGACGAGCTGCCGCATTTTGCACCAGCTTCAGTTTCCGGATCACTGACAAAGGAAGGCCAATGTAGAAGGCGTTACAGTAGTCAAGCCTCAAGCTGACCGCCGCCTGGATCACCATAGCCAGGTCGTTCCTAGATAGGAAGGGAGCCAGTCGCCTAGCCTGACGTAGGTGGAAAAACGCAGATCTGCTCACAGCAGAGACCTGGGCCTCCGTTGTGAGCAGAGGGTCCAATAAGACACCAAGGCTTTTTACAGAAGATGATGGACGTAGTGTCTCGCCATCCAGGGTAGGCAGCTGGACCTTCCTTCCACCTGGACGGCCCAGCCAAAGGATCTCCGTCTTCGCTGGATTCACCCTCAACCTGCTGGCACGCAACCATCCAGTAACGGCCTCAAGGCACTGATGGAAATTTTTCTGGTACAGAGTCCGGCCGGACCTCCATCCTCAGAATGAGCTGAGTGTCATTAAGTATCTGATAATGTCTGTTTACGATCCTTCTCAAATCTTAAGACCCTAAATCAGACATGGGCAAACTTTGGCCCTTCGGGTATTTTGGACTTCAACTTCCATAATTCCTAGCAGCTTACTCAGCTGTTAGAAATTATGGAAGTTGAAGTTGAAAACTCCTGGAGGGACAAAGTTTGCGTATGCCTGCCCTAAAGGAAGGGCTATCTTTCAGTCTCAACATTGTCAAAGACTGAAACTATCCTGGTTTTAGTATCGTCAAATTAAAAATATTACAATAAGGACACCAAAGTAGGATTTGAGGAGAAGCAATCAACTTGGGATAAGATTTTAAGGAATGAAAAGAAAACTATTGCGAAAATCTACAAGCTATTGTTGGGATGGAGTACAGAAAGAAATATTGGAAGGACAATAATGTTAGAGGAATGGGAAATAATGTGGAATAGAAAACTAAAATACACCTACGTTTATGATTTAAAAGACAATTGGCTAAAATGATGTATCAATGGTACATGACCCTAAAGAAGATACCAAAATTTACTAAAGATTACAATCACAATGGTTGGAAGTGTGAGAAACAAAAAGGATCTTTTTATCATATGTGGTGGTCATGTGACAAAGCAAGAGGATTTTAGAAAGAAATTCATGAATTATGCAAAAAAAAAATTGAAAGAAAAATTCCCAATGCATCCCAAGTATTTTTTTTTAATTAGGGATGACAAACATGAACTGGAACACAAATAAAGATAAACTCTTCACATATGCAACTACAGTGGCGAGATTAGTCTATGCCCGAGTATGGAGACAAAAAGACCTACCATCAAGAGAAGAATGGATTGAGAAAATGCTAGAAATTATGAGCATGGATAAATTAACATCTTTAGTCTCTAAGTCACAAGGTAGATATATAAAAAGAACAGACTGGACTCCTTTCACAGAACGGCTGAAGGAAAATAAAGTATATTAATCTAAATGGAAGAGGGCTGACAGAAGATGCCATCAATGAGGATACAACAAAAAGCAGCAAAAAGGACTATAAGAAAAATTAAAACCAATATAGGGAAGAATGGAAGCACAATCACCCCTATACCTAACCCTCTCTGCACATCCCCATATTTTCCACCCCTTTTGATACCCCCTCCTTTCTTTCTCTCTCTCTCTTTTTCCCTTTTTCTCTTCTCTTTTTACCTCAATTACCCCTTTCCCTTCTCCTCTATGTTTTACCCCTTTTCCCACTTTTAAAAAATATAACTTGGAAACTTTTAATAAAAAATATTTTAAAAAACATTGTCAGAGGTCCATTTGATGAGGACACAATAGAAGTATTATTTGATGGCTGTTCCCAGGTTCTGGAGTAGTCTTTACTCTTCCATAACAGACTTACAGTCCATCGACACTATAGAATAAATGAGTTTGACACCACTTTAACTGCCATGGCTCAATGTTACGGAATCCCCCCCCCCCCCCCCCCCCCCCCCCATAACTCCCTCTTTGTTTCTTGGAAATCTTTAGAATATCAGTTAATATAGTAGGTTCTATTCCACTACTTGAGATGCCACACTCTTCATACAGCCATAGAAAATTTCAGAAGAGATTGCCCACCATCAACCAGAAACTGGTAATTGTAATCGGCTAGATGTGTATTGCTATTTCTCCCAGTCTCCTTATCCCCACCACATATTTGTTTTTAAGTAGAAATAGTATTTATTTTTATCCAATGAATCATCAAGCCTTATACCCAAAGTTAGATTTATTCTTTGTGTGGAGAAGAAATAAATTCCATAATTGTGTTTTCTCCCACCACTAATTTACAGGCAACTCTATGTGAAAGAGTCATGCTGTTTTAGTTTTATGTAAAGCATGTGTGTGAGTTGGTGTTAATCACTAGTGGTTAAACACTAGTGGAAGGGAGATTTTCAAATACTGTATTTCATCAGCAAATTTTATATATTAAAGGTCTTTGTTAGTCACTTTATTTGTTTACTTGCCCTGGAAAACACACAATTCTCTTTGGAATTTTGATATTTTCCCATTTTTAAACCATCACAAAGACAATGATAACATCATCATTGTCTCAACTTTGCAGTCATGATCTCCTCCATCACCCCTGGAGGGGGTTGCTTGATACGTTTCTCCTGCATCATCATTGCAGCAGCATCGCAAGGTGATTATTTCTGATGCTGCTTGCACTTATTCTCGTGTAATCTAATTCATTTTAATCCAAAGTAGTTAAGTATGAACTGGATTATTATACTGTGCTTCATTTTATGTCCTAGTAGATACAGAGATGAGGGCTGTGGTGGGGCTACTCATTCAATGGGGTCATTCTGGGCACTGTACAATAGCTTGCTGATGGAAAAGGACAACATGGGCCCCAAAAGTGGTCTTTGCTGGTGTTCTTTAGATTGGAGACACCACCCATCACTGGCAGCTGGTGCCAATTAGGGATGGTTGCTCCTAACTGAGGCTGTTATTCTCTAATATTTTAAGAGTTTTCAGATTCTGCATACACCCACTTTTTTCTCTCACATGCACCCACACATTGCATTGCAGGCATAATCGTGCAGCAATGTGTCCCAGTGTCTTCTGTGCAATGGCTTGCTTTTTCTATCTTTTTTATTATGGGGATCTGAGCCTTGACAGAGGCTGCAGATATTTCCAAAAATTAAAAATTAAATCTGAAGGTGGCTGATATGGTGGTTTACAATCTAATTTAAACATTCTAAAAAGGGCAATTTTCCTTAATTCCTTTTGGCTAAAGAAGAGACAGACAGGACAGTGTAGATTCAGCCATTCCTTTGGCCTAATGCATTGTGAACTGCTGGTGTTCCAAACAAATGTGCATGCCTAGAAGTGCTTTATTATGTGGTTGGATGAGATCTAAACTTCCTTTTATTGCAGACATGACTGTTCTATGCATTTTATTTCGAGGTGATCCCACTTTTATCAATGACACTTACTCGCATGTGAATTTGCTTAGGCAGTGCAGTGGGTTTAATTATGTGTAAACTATCTGGCCTTTTCAAGAGAAAGGATGCAGAACTGGAGGATTAATATAGCTACATTAAATGTTTATTGATAATCCTCAGTATTAAGATAGGTATTATTTTTACCGAATTTAATTCCAGGATAGAATTTAATTGTACTTAGACAAACCACAGGAGGACGTTGGGCTACATATGTCACACGCTCTGAGTCTGATGACCCCTTGGCTCTCCTTCTCACCTCCTGCCCCAACATCTGTAACTGGCAGCAGATCCCAGTGCTGTTTAAAATAGGGCATGACCTGAAAGATGATACTTGTATTATAGGTTTA